GTATTCATATTTTTTACCTTAATATGACTATGGGCCTCTCTACCAAGTGGGAACCAAATCTCACTTCTTTTGGAAATCTTTCCGCTCATGCCCAATTCCAGTACTTGCTTTACTCTTGGGCATGAGTAGATACTCAACAAATAATTGTGCTTGTCCAGTGAGAGGGAATGGGACTGATTTTAAGTGCTGAGAGAAAAGCCTGGGTCCATTCATTCCATAGCAGTGCAATTTCTGGATAATACAAGAGTGAAAAAAAAGTACCCACCAACCATTAGGTCTGGGGCCTTTTAGTAGAAGGCTTTTAAAATTCACTGGACTTTTCTGGGAAAGGATGCATCAGGGATGCTCAGAAATGAGCACTTCTTAGACTTGCAGCAATCTGGGGGTTAATGGATTCCTCCTGCCCAGGGGTTCCAGAGATGGACGGAGGGAGACTGTACCATTTCTCTACTTCCTCCTTTTCCCTTTCTTCTTTTAAACTATTTTTGTCCTAAATGGTCACAGCCGTTGATACCTAAAGTAAGACTTGGGAAATTTGGAAACGTGTGAAGAAGCTCATGATAGGCTTCCCCCAGAATCCCGCCCTGCAGAGGCGCGAGCTTTCTCTTTATCTGAATACACCAGGCAGGGCGTGGTCCAACCTCTTGTTTGGCAGGTTCCCTTTACTCTGCAAAGTAACAGCAAGGCCGCAACTGTCTCCTCTCTCCTTTCTGGAAGTCTCAGGGATCGGTGAGTGTGGGTTCTGACTTCAAGTCTAAGGCTTGGAGCAGACGCTGGGCTGGGGGCCAGGGGCTTTCCAAGGCTGGCACCACCCCGGGGGGAGGCCATGCGCATGGCGGTGGTGGGGGTAGCGGAGAGCAATCGCTTGCAGCATCTTTCCATTTTGGGCTCAGCGTGCTCAGACTGTCCGTTCCTGTAGGACACCTCCCACCGGCGGGGCAGGAGATACGCACCTGCGTCTCTTAGGTGCACATGGAGCTTCCACAGCTTCTAATAAAAAGTCTCACAATGTGGGCATCTGTTACTCTCCTTCTAGACCTTCTGTTCCCTTTAGAGCTGCTAGGAATGACCCATAGACATATAATTTTATACTCCAGTGATTACATATACCTGGTCTTCAGTGGGACAGGGAGGAAAATGACTTGTGACTGAGCGATGATTTGTGTTCCCCAGCTGCTCTCTGAGGAGGGTGAATCCCGGCTGGAGTATTTCCTGAGTAAGGGTCAAGGGTGTGAGGATGCAAACTGGAGATGCTGAGAGGGAGCCACAGGGCTCCCCTGAGCAAAGAGTTGAGGGTTTGGGGGCAGAGGAGGGGTTGCTGGAGGGAAGAGGTGAAAGAGACAGATAAGGGGGCACAACTGAATTTTGGAGGACCAAAAGGGTTGCAGCTGATGGCATGTGGAATCTATTGTTTTCTCCTCTGTCTCCCCATAATCAGTGTTATATTGTGAAGTTGGACTTGTTAGTTTAAGAGTTGTATTCCATTGCTAGAATTCTGCTTCCAAATTGGCAAGAAGAATGGCTGCTAGAGAGGGCCCAGCCATTTGGGGGTCATACAACAAAAGGATATTTTGTTTTAAAGGAGGAGATTTGGGCACTAAGGAACCTACCATGCTTACCTCTACCAACATTTGGCACCTTACTAGGAACTGTCTCCCCACATGGTTTCATGAGCGCCCCTGGGGCCTCTTTCCCCTCTGGGACCCCAATGCTGCTTTGCAGAACCCGCGCAACTTGCAATGCACTGTTACTAGAGATCCATTCAGCATCTACCTGGCACCAGGTCTTATGGCAGAGCATGAGGAACAGAGGAGTGCCACAGACACAGGCCCTGCCTGCTAGGAGCTCATGGTAATAGTCTGTTGCTGTCAGATAGTAAGTGGAACAAAGGAGGTGAGTGAAGGTGATGTGAGAGCCAAAGGGACAGGGGTATAGGTGGGAGGCTTCCAGGAGGAGAGGACAACCTGAACGGAAGGGAGAAGGAAAAGAGGAAAGTGTTCTCTGGGCAGAGATCAGCATGGACAAAGGCACAGAGGTAGGAACCAGCCTGGTCCCTTCCAGGTCATGTAAATAGCCCCAGAATATCCACGAGAGGCAGGCGGGGTGCGGGTGGACACTGAGATACTCATGGGGCTTTGTGTGCCAGGTAAGAGTCAGGATAGCATTCTACAGGGTGGCAATCCTCAAGAGGAAGGAGGTGGGCAAAGAGAAAAGGGAGGGGCCCCTCCCTGCCCCCCATTCTCCGATTGGGGATGGATGGGTTTGAATTTCCAGCATGGAGCATGTGTTTAGTTTGAAAAAGCAAATTGAGAATTAAAACTTTATATTTGATAAATGTAAAAGGATACCTGTCGCAATCTAAATTTGACTGAGTTTTGGCTAGAGGAGCAGGAATTGGGGAAAAAGAAAGTGAAGGAATACTCCCCAGGTGATGGGAGCCTCAGGTGGGATTTTAGCAGGGTGGTGACAGGCATGGGCCAGTTTTGCACTTTTAGAACAATAACTCTGGCCACTGATTGGATGATGGATATGAGAGAGGAAAGACTGCACAGACCATGAAAGGGATGGAGAGATGGCAGGCATGATTCAGGGCCTTACGTTCTGGGTAGGGAGATATTTAGTGGACAGAAAACCAGAGAACTTGGCGACAGAGAATGTGCACAGGGCGAGAAAGGGAAGAGTCAGGCTGCATTCTACAACTCTTGGTGGGACGTATCCCCCCAACCCTTGCTGGGTAGTGTCAGGGAGGGGGGACTAGCTGGGGGAGGGAGGCTCTGGTGGTTGGTACAGGGTAGCCTGGTTCTGAGAAGTCAATTTTAAAGTGGCTGTGGAACATCTGACTGAGCAAAGGTCCTTGAGCATCTGTGACTTGTCCATGTTCACACTCTAGTGGGCTACCATCTAGGGCTGGGATTCTATGTCCAACTCTTCCCACCTTGCAGCCCAGCTTGACTGGACATGGGGACAAGGAACAGGTGGCCCTGAGGTGTTAGGCCTCCCAGGAGGTGTCAAGCACCCTGGGGGTGGGTGCTGCTCTTCTTATGATTTGGAGTAGCCCTTGCTTCTTAGCTCTGTCCCAGGGGTGTGAATGGTTGGAAGGTAGGTTCTCAAAACACATGCTGGGGAAACCAAAGGCTGAATGGATGGTGATGCCAGCCTTGACACTGCAGCAGGTACAGGCTCAGAGGGTTGTCACACCAGGGTCCCCTGAGGTCCACCCAGGGTGACAGCTCAACCCCAGTTGCTAGACCCTTTGGAGTGGCCCTGGCATCATGCCTCTTTCTCATTAAGAATTGGTGCCTGTCCTGGCCCTGCTTAGCCTGACTGTGCAATCAGAGATCTGATAGTTTTGGTACCACAGGGGAATGTTTTACAACATTTGCCTATGATACCTCATAGACGTGTTTTCATTTTAATTAGGGGATAATACTGTAACCTAAGGAATGAAACTCTAATAGTGGAATCTCAACACCAATAGAGATTGGGATGGGAATTATTGTGTTCACTGTATACTTATACTGTATACTGGGGGACAGATGCCTGTCTTCTTACAAAATGGCACAGGACACTTCTGGGGGCAAAATATTAGTTCTTTCCGTGGACACAAGAAATAGCTCAGACTCTGAAAATCCAAATCTTAGCAAGTTATGGCCATGAGGCATCCTCATATTTCTGTGGCACAGGCTGCTGGGGAAGGGGAAGAAACTGGTGTTTTAGGTAAGACAACTTATGAGGCTGCAGGATTAGTCCTTAGGGTACAGCAGTGGTCACCCCTCAGAAGAACAGCACCCAGGGGTATGTCAGTAAACCCTGCATAGAGCCAGCTGGCCCTGGGAAGGAGGGCTCCCTTTCCTGTTGGTGGGCATTGGACAGAAGCAGCATGAAGTTGGGCCTGTGACTCTGTTCTAGCTAAAAATAAGACTAATGGGAGGAGGACCCCAGCTGACAGCTGGATGTGCAAAGCATAGAGAAGAGGTTATGGAAGCAGCTGCCAGGTCCCTGACTGGAGTCATGAGTATCAGGACTGGGCTCAGGGTATCCTGGCTAGGCTGAGAAGGAAGCTGTGCCTCAGTGGGTATGCAGTATCCTGGCCTTTCTCAGCCACACCGTAGCGACCATGATGGATTCTCTCTGCCCCTCAGTGGGAAGTCCAGTCTTTCAAGATGCTCCGCTGTAGGCAGTGCTGGATCAGGGATGGAGCTGAACTGGCCAGTGTGGAAGGACGGGTGGGGACTGGCCCCAGAGCCATGTGGCAATAAGAGTTGGTGTCCAGGATGCTGCCAGCCCTGGGGGAGGCAGGCGTCCTTAGTCTGAGCAACAGAGTGCCCCAAATGGAAAACCATCTCTTGTGGTTTTTGTTTGTTTAAATATTTTAACAATTAACCCTTTGAAGACCTTGATCCCCAGTATTTTTAGAGTAGTAACTCATCCCTGTTTGTAAGATACTAATGCTTGGTGAAATTGTCTTGAATCCAACTAATGGCCTGTGCACCTCTAAAACCCTTCTGCTGTCCTGGGGTGTGATATCCTTCAGGCAGCTTCTGCTTCTGCTTCTTCAGCTCTCTGAAACGCTCTCATACCGGTGTCTATGAATTGAGTAACAACTAGTGAAGTACTGGGGGGTGGTATCAGGAAGGGGTCATAATGCCTTCCAGCCTGGCAGGTGGGACCCCTCTGGGATCACGCAGGAATTCCACATCCTGTTTGCTCCTCTGTGGAGAGTAGCTTCTCTCCTCAGGTCCTTGAAGCCAGGACTCTGAAGAGATTTCCCAGTTCCTCTCTTTGAAAAGAATTTTGGTCCTACTCGTAAAGATAATGAAGATTTCTGCACCTTTCATCGACATAATTTGCTTTTAAAATAAAATTTCATTTCTAGTTTATTTTTAAGAATTTCTCAGCAGTCCTGAAAATAAATCAGCACGTAATGGTACTGCAAAACCGGGGTGAAGAGCCCTGGTGGTGCACACAAGACCCTAATGTTCATTGTTTGTGTCTCTCAGCTTCCATCCAGATGTTTGAAATCCAGTAGATGCAGTCGGCGTCCCTGAGAACGAAGCAGGGTGCACGGGCTGAGCACTGAGAAGCAGCAGCCTGGGACGAGGCTGGTCCAGCCTCCCGGTAATTTGTTGGCAGTTTTTGGTGATGGTGGGGGGTGAGGCACACTTGTTGTTTGGGTCCATCTCACGAGGATGAACTTCCAGTCACCAGCAGGATTAGGGGAGTCACTGCCATGGGTTCCCCCAATCCTGCTGACTAGCGGAGCTACCATGGGATCTGAAGGACTGTAGAAGGCGGTAGTGCAACCCCCTGTGGGGGCAGAAGTCCTTCTATGGCATCCTGGAGTCACCTGACTCTGAGGAGAGAGTGCACTGCCTGCCTTCGCTGCCTGACCCACCTTCCTGTTCCCGAGCAGCTCCTGCTGGTGCAAAGCTGTCCATTGCACCCTCCACGGAATCCTTTTTACCTCCTGTGGGCCCTGGAGGCTCTAAGGAATCAGCTCAGTTCCTCTTCCACATGGCAGCCCAGCAGACATTTGGGGACAAGTGGAATGGAGGAGTGCAGGAGGGTCTGGAGCCAGAGACAGTTCTGGTTGAGACCCTGACTCCATCATTATCTGTGTGATCTTGGGCAAGTTAGCTAACCTCTCTGCAGTGCAGTTTATCTGTAAAACAGCAACAATGACATCTGCCTATGAAGTAGTCCTGGGAATAAAAATAAATCATGAATAGAAGTTGCCTAGTACTGTTCCACCACCAATTCTCTGATGCAAATGCGTGTCCTACGGTTCAGCTCAATTCTGACACTGCCGAGTTAGGGGCCACACAGGTTTCTACCACAAGTTAAAGGGCAAGGTCACCAATCAAACTGCCCCCATTTCAGAAGCTACAAGTAGGGTGCTCAGGCCACTGCACTCATGACTCACTAGGCTATAAATTTGAGGGTCCCCATGCTGCCCTTTAGTCACTCACTCCCTATAACAACTCACAGAACTCACTGAAGGCACTGGAATTGTGATTATAGTTTTAGTAGAAAGGATTCAACTCAGGAACAGCCAAACAGAAGCAATGCACAGAGCAGGGCCTGGGGAGGGTGGGGGATTAGAGCAGAGCTTCTATGCCCCCTCCTTATAGAATCTGGGTGCATCACCACCCCAACATACCAATCAGGAAGCTCCTCCAAGCCTTGATATTTTTAATGGTGGGCTTTATACTACTAGGCATAATGGTTTAAAGCAACTGCCACTTGTTTGAACTCAATCTCCAGCCCCTCCCCCACCTGTCCTCCATGGTTTGTGGGGACAGGGTGCTGAAGTTCCAACCCTGTAACCATGTGCTTGGTCTTTCTTGGTGGCTAGTCCCTCCCTTGAAACATCAAAGGGCCCGCCATAAGTCAACTTGTTAGCATGGATTCAGGTTCCATGAAATGAGCTCATCATGAATAACAAAAGACCCTCCTAATGTTTTTTGGATACTTTAGAAATCCCAAGGTTTTTTGAAGTTCTGTGCCAGGAACTGGGGAGAACGGCCAGATATATTCTTTACGATATCAGACCTGGCCCGTCGAGCAGTGGCCTCTGATGCTCACCACTCTGCTTATCCTCTTTGTTGTGATCTCCAACTTGACATGTTCCCAGTATTTGGTCAGAGAACTAGTCATTCTTATCAGTCTTTTTCTGGATGTTCTTTTTGTTAATATAGATCAAGATTGAATTAGTTCTTTGGACTACAACATGTAATTACAGTCATTGAGTATGCACCTGTTTACAGTTGAATCATGAGCCTCTCATTACTCGAGTTCCTAATGCTATAATAATTCCAGCCCCTAAATGACACATAATAAGAGCAAATGCTTAATAGCACTTGATACACACCAGGCACTGTTTTAAGTACTTCACATACATTAACTCATCTACATCCTCACAACAGCCTAAAGAGGTAGCTAAATAGTTCAATCCCATTTTATACACAGGGAGACTGAGGCACAAGAGGTTAGTAACTCACCCAGCAAGACAACACAGTGGCATAGTTAAGATTGGAACTCACCGTCTTCTTGTTCCAGAGTCCATGCTTTTAACCACTAAGCCACACTGCACATAACGTTGGTCACCTACGCAACACTTTGGAAGGGAAGGAAGGAGCACCAAAGGATGCTCCTGGTTCACAGAATCAAAGGGTGGTTTCCTCTGGGCCCCATTGTCATGGTGAGGGTGTAAGGGCTTCCATTTTCTACCCCATTCCCATTGGAGCATCTGGAGTAACCGTCTGGGGATGGGCTCTGAGAAGTGCAGGCAGGCCTAGGGTACATGTTGGTGTGGACTCCCTGCCCAGCAGGACCTGGGCTTCTTTGTTCCTTGTGTTTCAGGGAAGGAAGTGCTACTTCAGGCCTTCACAGACCCATTCCTGGGAATGCAGCCATTCCCAGAGGAAGGAAAGAAGATTTAGGCTAGAAATAGAAAAGATTTAGGCTAGAAACATTCAGTACTGAGCTGTACTGGCCAAAATGACCCAAATCCCAGAGAAGCTGAGAGTTCAGGGGGCTCTGGAGCTGGTGGGACCTGGAGCCATGAGAACACAGGGCATTCATCCCCATGTGCATATCCATGGTACCCATTGGGAGGTTGCTTGTTTTGTTTTTAAAATAACATCAAAGATCGGGACTACAAAAGTGCTGAAGAGAATTTAAACAGGAGGGGCAGTGCCTCTGGAAAAATGTCTGCAGCGCTGTCTGCCCAGGAGAGTCTGGCTGGTGACTGCATGTCTGCCTAGCTCTGATGCATTGTCTTTGTCCTTGCTATCCCTCACCGCTGCTTATTATTGCAGGGATGAGGCTGGCCGAGAGCATGGTGGAGGTGAAATATTCTGAACTCGCTCTATGCACAGGGGCTTGACTTGAACCTACAAGGCAAATGTCAATAGGTCCTGCGTGTTCTTTGCAGTTGCCCATTTTGGCATTTGGCTTGAGGGGTAGGGAGACAAGGATGGAGGAGGAAGGCCTCTTGCTCCAGGAAACCCAGATCCTCCATCCTTCTGCATTTTCTACACGAATCTCTCTCTCTCCATATAGTGTCGAGCTGGAAGGGGCTCCAGAGTCTGTTCCGTTCACTCCCTCATTTAGAGATGGACAAAAGGAGACCCAAAGAGGAAAATTACCCCCTGCCCAAGCCCATGAAGCTAGAGAATGACAGAGTGAGGGTGATACTGTAGACTCTGACGCTAGCCCAGAGCTAATTCCACTGGAAATATCCCTGATGGACTCAATCACTCTTTCTCCGCTTAGATGAAGAATCTGGCTTGAGTGTTGCTAGGTACAACTTCAACCATTCTAGCAACCTCTAAATCTGTTTCAAATCTTTCTTTAGAGATTTTTTTTTTCTTTTGGGGTTTTTCTTTTGCTTTTTTTTTTTTAGCTGCCACCTCCAGAAGATGCCTCCTCCATACTCTATCACTCACAGGCAAATATTTCATCTACAGGACTCGTAGGCATGGTGCTGGTTGGGAGACACTGGTGAGGGCATTCATAAGGAAATAATTAATTAGTGAAAGAATGAAGATGAGATGTCACAGTTTGGCAGACTTGCAAAAGCAGGTTGTGGTGTCATTTGGAGCACTCCTGCTGTCTCAGATCAAGTGTATGGTGGCAGGTGGTGACTGGCATTGGAGGATGGGGCCTGGACAGCCATGGGAAGTAGCAATAGTGTCAGAAGATGAGGTTTGTGCCATCTTTGGCTGGCTTGCTAAATGGCCGACATCTGGAATGGATACCATCCAATACACGGTACAACTATTAATATCTAGCCAGTGGTATTTCAACTCTGGCTGACTGTTGGAATCACCCAGGGAGCTTTTAAAAATCATGATGTCTAGGTCATACCCCAGACTAATAACACTAAACTCCCTGGTATTAGTATTTTTAAAAGTTCCCCAGTGGATTGCAACATGCACCCAAGTTTAAGAACCACTGCTCTAGGCCAAGGGTTCAGGCTGTTAGCTGAGGGACCCCATACATGTGCCCTCCCTTGAATGTGCTATTTGCTGTTCCGCAAAAGGGGAAAAATAGGAAGGAAGGAAGGAAAGGGAGAGAGGGGGAAGAGAGAGAGGAAGGCAAGGGAAGGGAAAGGAAGGGAAGGAGGGAGATTTGGAGGGAGGGAGGAAATATGAAAGAGGGAAAGGAAGAAAGATACCTGAGTGTTCTGGGCTGATGGGGTAGATTCCCACTTCTCCCACAACCTAGTGGTTCACCCACCTGCCTCACTCAGAGGCACTGTAAGTTGGAGGGTAGTATCCCTCCATGGAAGGAGGTCACAGCTCAATGACAACAAGACTATGCTTTACTGGCTGCCAGCAAGGCCTCTTGCATAATGAACTGCTGGCTGTAAGGAAGGTCAAGGTTTGGGCTAACCAAATGGGCCAAGGGGGAAGAACAGATGAGGACAAGGAGGCAGGAGTGCTCTAAGAGAACAAGAGAGTATTCCACATCCCCGTGGAATGCAAATGTGAGCTCACAGAGGTAAAGGGAGGGAGGGCGGGTTAAAGATGAAAGCCATGTGTCCCGAACCCCTGTAATGCTCTTTTGTTGGCCTCTCTACTTGTGTTCAAAAGCTAATTCTTGTTCAGTCAAGGCACTTGCCTTTCTTTGCTGAGAAGGGGATCACACAGCAGGGAAAAGGCTAGGGCTTTGTTAGGCTGCCCTGGGTGTCGAAGGCTCATAACCCAGATTGGAGGGCCTAGTGGCGCTGACACACAAAAGGAGACTGGTGTGGCCAAAGCCCCACTGGCTGGGAGGCAGAGGCTGGAGCTGCAGCCTGCTTCTTCAGGAGGGCTCTGTAGTAAGAGAAGACATTCCTTCATTCACATCAGGCCTTAGGGGAAAAAGCATGCTTGAGTAGAAAAAATAGGGGTCCCAGCCCAACTCTCCAAAGGCTCCCCTCGTCCTCATTCCAAGGATCAGGTCTAGATCTAGTACATTAGTAAGTACTGATGCCCAATACATAGCTTTACACTATGTAGGTATGCAGCACAGAAATGATCCAAAAGGTATGCAGGTCCTACTTGCGGGGTGGCAGTGTAAGTGCGGCGGGTTGGCCAGGCAAGGGTAGTGGGCCCGCGTGAGTGTGCCCCATTTTCACTAGGTCGGATGGTGTGTTGGCGCCCCCTATCGACGGGCAGCCGCCGGCGCCCTGCCCTCCACACCGCCGCTGGGCTCACACCCTCCTGGGAAGAGCCGCGGGCCACGCGAATCCCACGAATCCAGCCCCTCCGCCGGAGGAAACTGTACTGGGACCCGCGCTCCCTCTTGCCTTCTCCGTAGGCTTCCAGGAGCGGATTGTAAGCCCACCAGGACAATGAGTGAAGAGACTGTCCCCGAGGCTGCCTCCCCGCCGCCCCCGCAGGGGCAGCAGTATCTGGACCGCTTTTCTGAGGACGACCCTGAGTACCTGCGCCTTCGCAGCCGCGCGGCGGACCTGCGGCAGGACTTCAACCTGATGGAGCAGAAGAAGCGCGTCACCATGATCCTGGAGAGCCCCGTGAGTGGGGTCCGCCCCAGGCGGGCGGGGGAGGAGGAGGAGGAGGAGGGAGGCAGGGGAGCAGGCGGCGCCGCCCATTGGTCTGGCTGAACCTGAAAGATAAACAACCCCTCTTCCACTTGCTCAGTGTTGCCGCAATTTTAAGCCGGCTGAGCAAGATGGGCCCTGCGCTGTGGGGTTTTCCTTCTCTCCTTGGCCACTCGTAGATGGCAAAAACCTGGTTTATGTGCAGGCGGTTTGGCTTGGTACTGGGAGGGGGTGGGTCCGAGAGACAGGAGTCCTGCCTCAGTTTCCAGGCTCCCCCAAATTTGTAACAATGAACTAACAGGGATATTCCTGTAAACCGGAGGCCAGCAGGGAGTGCCACGTGGAAGGCTTGGGGCCCCCGTTTTTGAATACCACAAAGAACTCACTGTTGGGGCGGTAAGGTTGACACGCATGGGGCAGAGGTGAAGAGGGTCTGGAAGCCCCAGGAGGTGATGAGAGTGAAGGATTCAGGGTGCTATGGGCCAGGGAAGGGAGGGCAAGGCATGGCCCCAGACTTGAGGTCAGTTGGTACCTGCATGGCATGGAGACAGACCTCATCCTTGAGGCTAGTGGTGCTTTGAGAAGAACAAAGCATGGACCCAATGGACCGCTGAAGTGGGAGGGTGATGTAGGCCCTGGGTGAGGAGAGGAAGAGCAGAGTGGAAGGAGGCAATGGGAGTGCGAGGCCAGTAGAGCTGGGGGGACCCTCAGGAAACAGTGATGATACTAGGGACTGGGAAGCTCAGGATGGAGCTGGCATCTCCAGGTGCCTGCCAAGATGGGTTCTGCCTCGGTCCCCCCTAGGCTTTGGAGAGACAGGACACGTAGATGGGCCATGTGTGACCCTGTTTGAGAGCACACAGTGAATGCTCGGGCTTCACAGAGGACCACTGAGGTAATGGGCCTGAGGTCTCCGTGACAGGTGACACTGTGTGAGGAGCCTGGAGGAATATGGCAGGTACTAAAATCTTTGGGATAATGGAAAAACTCCAGGGTGGGAGTAGGAGAGATGACAGGTGTGATAGAAGTGGCAGAGTTAGTACCAACCCAAGTTGCGGGCCTGAATGGGTAGGACTCTATTCTCAGGTAAGAAGTGGGACAAAAGGAGTTCATGTTTCTTCTGTCCTTTTATAGACTGACCAACACCTGGAAACCCCCCCCCCCACCACCCCATTTCCTTCTTAGTGTTCCCTGCTGCCACCTGGTGGACAGGCAAACCTTATTTATGGTCTGAAAAGCCAGGCTTAGAGCAGTAGGACATAGAAGTGGAAGTGACAGGGAGGACAGCACATCCTTCAGTATCTGAGGAAACCGAGGTCCAGAAGAACCATAGGCATGGCTGATGGACAAGGAAGATGGCACACTTTTTCATCCAGTTTGCTTTTTAAAGTGTCTCTTAATTACCAAAGTGAAGCCCTGCCATGTCTGATGGCCGGTGCTGGGGGGTTGGAAGTAGGAGGGACTTCTTGAGTATCACTTAGACCCAGGGAGGACCTGGAATCTGGATTACTGCCCACAGGACATTTTTTTGCTTCCCAAACAGCAGTTTGGGGAGACTCCTGAGGTCCCAGTGGAATTCCCAATGTCCTCTGAGGCTTAGGGATCCCATGTGTGGCCCTAGCCTTGTTGACCCAGGGAATGGAGTGGGCTCCTTCAAGAGGGGTCCTCAGTCTCCCCCATGAGACCCACTGGGGGGACCAGCACTGTGGGGCCTGCTTCAGTCTTTCAGGGAGGAGCTGGAAGGCCTGATCCAGGAACAGATGAAGAAGGGGAACAACTCCTCCAACATCTGGGCCCTGCGGCAGATCGCGGACTTCATGGCCAGCACCTCCCACGCAGTCTTCCCAACATCTTCCATGAGTACGTGGGGAGCTGGGGAGCTGCCAGGAGCAGAGGTGGAGGAAGTAAGGTGGGGAAGAGAGGGTTGGTTGCCAGGCTACAGAGTGAGTGGTGCAGCTGAGTTAGCTGACCTCGGGGAGCAGCCAGAGAGGTACCTGGCTCTGCTTCTGAGGCTGCTAGCTTTAAAGACCCACAGGGGAATTATTCCTGGTGCCCAGAAGTACAAGGGGGATGGTATCTTATGGGAAAACCTCTTTCTGGTTCTGTTGGGGGAGGGGACAGGATGACATGGTGTCACCATTCTGAGAGGCAGGGCAGCCTCTATGTGACTCTTCCTTCCCCCTTCACAAGTGGGTTAAAAAGAAGGGAGGAGCTTTGTAACTCCAAGTCTCTCACATGGCCTCTGCTTGAGGACCCAGGAGTGGAGAGTGCAAATTCTGCTCCCTGTTATTGTAGCTGTGGATACAGAACTGAAGGACAATCTCGTGTGCTAGCAGCAGCCCCTGACTCAGGCTGCTCTTTCCTCAACCTCCTGGAGCCACTCCCTTGCAGATGGAGTGGTAGGGATGGGAGGAGGCCGTTGAAGCCAGTATCTTGGTGCCCACAGGGCAGGCTAACCTGACTCCATAGACAAGGACGCACGCAGCCAGGGCTGGAAATGAAACCCTCTTCCTGGGTCTCAAGTTCTCAAGTTCTGCGCACAACCTTGAAGAAACGAACATCAAAAAACACTTTCCCGGGGTGCCTGGGTAGCTCAGTGGGTTAAGCCCCTGCCTTTGGGTCAGGTCGTGATCTCAGGGTCCTGGGATCAAGCCCCGCATCAGGCTCTTTGCTCAGCAGGGAGCCTGCTTCCCCCTTTCTCTCTGCCTGCCTCTCTGCCTACTTGTGATCTCTCTCTCTCTCTGTGTATCAAATAAATAAATAAAATCTTTAAAAAAAATCACTTTTCCTCAACAACAAATACAGGATTATGATGAAAAATTCAGAAAATAATCAAGGGGAAATTAAAATCAATGTCCTTTGTTCTTACAACTACAAACTATTTTCAGTATTTTGGTGTATATCCTTCCAGCCTTTCTCTCTTTTTTTTATTTTATTTTTTATTTTTTTTTAAAGATTTTATTTATTTATTTGACAGAGAGAGAGAGAGAGATCACAAGTAGGCAGAGAGAGGAGGAAGCAGGCTCCCTGCTGAGCAGAGAGCCCGATGTGGGCCTCGATCCCAGGACCCTGAGATCATGACCTGAGCCGAAGGCAGAGGCTTTAACCCACTGAGCCACCCAGGCACCCCCAGCCTTTCTCTCTTAACATATATAAATTAGGAAAACAAAAATGGAATCGCATTTTACACGCAAGTATACATGATAGCTTTAATATGTCTTGACTAATTTTTCACGTAATAAAACATTCTGTAATACAGTGTTTGGTGAGAGTACGCTATTCTGTGGTATGACTGAATATGCCACAGATTATTTTTACACTGTTTCCCATTTTTAGACTTTTAAGTTGTTTACAACTTTTTGCTCTTATGAACAACAGTGCCATAAATCCTTTCATTTATTCTATGACCATTTTCTAAAGACAAATGACTGGAAGTAGAATGGCTGTATTAAAATATTTGCATGTTTTAAAGACATTAATGCATAATGCCACATTACCCTGGAGAAAGATGGAACCAATTTACATTCCCACCAGCAATGCAGTGTAGCTCCCTTTTCCTCCCCCTTGATCTATAGTATGTTTTATACCATCCGTTTCATCCTCCTGATTTGATAGGTGATAAATAGTCCTTTATCTGTGCTTTAATGTGCATTTATCTGATCACTAGTGATGTTGGATATATTTTCATATACATGCTAGGATGATTTTATTTTTGTAGTAAATTGCCTGTCACAACCAATCCTTGCCAATTTTCCTACCCGCGTATTCTTTTCTTAGGAACTTTCAAATCTTTATAAATTGGGACTATTTCCCTATTATCTGTCAGATATATTGCAGTTTTTTCCCAGTTTCTCCTTTGCCTGTTTTGTTCATGTTGTTTTTGTCTTATAGAACTCTTTAATTTCCATGCAGCTGAATCCATTATTACTTTTCTTTGTGTGTTCTTATTTTGATAGCACACTCAGAAACACCTTCCCCGTGTTTTATCATCCCATGGGACAAATACCCTTAATTATTTTTAAAAATAACTTAAGAATTATTCTGTCAAGTCTCCCCTGCCCCCACCCCATACTCAAGAATTCCCTATTGAGATTATATTAAATAAATAGATTAATTTGGTGGAGAATTTATAAATTTACAATTTCATATATTTGAATATAAGCTTCATGGGGAAAAAGATACTTGTATGTTTTGTTCACTGCTGTATCCTAGAATAGCGTCTTGGACTTAGAAAAGTAGCTGGCACAGAGTAGGTATTTTTAAAACATTTGCACAAATGTATTTTAAGTCTGTTCAGAAACAACGTATGTCTTCTCTTTATTTGCTCTTTTTTAAATGTCCATTAAAGAAGGTTAGTAGTTCTTTTCTTATAGTCCCTACTAATTTCTTGTGAACTTTGTTCTGGAAATTTTATATAACTTTGTTATTTTAAGTGATTTTTTTAAAGATTTTATTTATTTATTTGACAGAGATCACAAGTAGGCAGAAAGGCAGGCAGAGAGAGGAGGAAGCAGGCTCCCCGCTGAGCAGAGAACCCGATGCGGGGCTCGATCCCACGACCCTGAGATCAGGACCTGAGCTAAAGGCAGAGGCTTTAACCCATTGAGCCACCCAGGCGCCCCTTAAGTGATTTTTTTCTCCATTCAATTTTCTTTCTGGTTATAGCTGTCATCCAGGGAAAGTAGCTTCTTATGGAACTCTTAAATTCTAATAACTTCTCAGTTAATTCTCTTGGGTTTTGCATATAGAAAAATCACATAACCTGCAAATAGTGATCATTTTAAATCCTTCATTCCAATATTTACCCTTTGGTTTCTTTTTCTAGTTTTCTCACTGCATCCATTAGAACCCTCAGAACAATGCTTAGTAATAGATTAGAGAGTAATCATCCTTGTCTTGCTTCTGACTTTAATAGAAATCCTTTATCACAAGAGTTTGAGTTCATTATTGTGTTGAGGAAGTATCTTTTTATTCTAGTTCAATATGGGTTCTCAGAAATGGATGTTGAATTTTTATAAAATGCATTTGGGCATTTATTGATTTCTCTCTCTTTGAACTATTGATGTGATGAATTATGTTAATAGATTTCTGAACATTGAACTGTTTTTTCTTTCCTGAAATCAGTTATTCCTGCTCTTGATGCATTCTTTTGAAAATACGTTTCTAGATTTGATTTGCTAGACTTTTGTTCAGGATTTGCATATTCATACATGAGATTGGTCAGAAATTTACTTTTTGGGCAGTCTTCATTTAGTATTGGTTTTAAGGCTAAAATTTCATAAGATAAATCAAAGTGACCCCCATCCTTCTCTTTGTCCTGATGGAATTTAAATAAGATAGGAAGTCTCTCTTCCTAGGAAGTTTATTACTCACTTATAAAGCCATCCATATCTGGAAAATTTTTTATAACATTTTTCACAGTTTCATCAGGTTTCTAAAAAATTTATTTTGCTCTATCTTGAGTAAATTTTGATCATATGTTTTAAATAAAAAATCCATTTCATGGAGATTTTCAGAATTATTAAAGTGACTTACAATATTGTTTCTATCATTTAAATTTTCTGCTGTGAATGAGATGACATCCCATTCTTACTCCTGGTGTTGTGTATTCCCACTTTCTTTTATGGCCAGTCCAGATGTTGGTTTATTCATAGATCTTCTCACATAAGCCAATTCTTGGATTTCTGTAATTGCCCTACTAATTTTCTAGTTTCCCAATTCATTGATCTTGTTTTTCTATTCATGAATTCTTTTCCTTAACTTTTCTTTGGTTTATTTTGTTATTTTTGTGTTTTCTAAAGCATAATAAAATGGATGCTTTGTTTTCATATTTAATTCAATAACAAAGACATTTTAGGCTATGAATTTTTTACCTCTGAGTGTAAGTTTCATCTTATCCCATGCATTTTGATATAATATTTCCTTTATTGTTAATTTCTAGATAGTTTGCAGTTGCTGTTTTGATTTTATTTTTAATCTTAAAATTCTAAGATTTTATTTTTATTCTATTTTTATCTGGAAGTGTGTTTTCTCATTTCCAAGTGGTTGAATTTGCATTGTTTTAAGGGTTTGTTGATAATGTGTAGTTTGATTGCATTGTGTTTAGAAAATGTGGCCTATGTCTATGTTGGAGATTTATTGAGATTTTCTCTGTGGCCTAATTAATATCATTTTTTAATGATATGTAGGTATAGACTCTATCTCCAAGGCATAGTATTTAATCTGTATCTTCATTTATTTTTTTTATTTTGTAAAAAAATTGTCATGTTGTCTTTCGCAGTATATTTAATTAATGTTCATTTCTCTTCATATTACTGATAGCTTTTGCTTTATATCTTGATGAAATGTTATTCAAAGTGTAAATGTTCTTTATAGCTATAGCTTCATGATGGATTATATCTTTAATTCATGTAAAATGACCTCCACAGTGGCCCTCCCAGTCATGGCCCCTGCTGTCTGGCTTTGTCTAGGGAGCGTGTGCTTTTGCTCTGCCCCCTTTCTTGCTGCCAAGGATGAATATTCCAAAGGAATATGGCTTTCCCTGATTTCTACTTTGATGATATTATGACCTCTGTTTATTTTTTCTTTATATGCAACCTCTGTTTATTTTCTTCTTTTTTCTCTGCTACAACAGAGAAATCTGAAACAGCAGGTTTTTTTGTTCCTTTGTAGGCAACCAACATTTTTTGGGGTAGATGTTTGTGCCTTTTCCTCCCTTATCCTTATATTTCAGAAAAGTGCCAGGAAGCATATAACTGTAGGCTTTTTCTCTTTATGGACTTTCCCCTGTGGAATCCTTATAATTTATTTACACAGGTCTATTTTTGAGTACAGAAATTTTTTCTATTATGTGAGTGCTGATTATTTGTATGCTGGCTCTCTGGTCTTGGTCTCCCAGAGGTATCCTATTCTTTCTCATCGTTTTCATGTCTCTGTCTTTATACTTTTTCTTTTGAAAGAGAAATAGAGCCGACTGGCATTCCCTCTGCCTCACTGACCAGCACCCATCAGGAAGAAAGCTGGATACCTAGAAATCTGATTAGGGCATGTCCAGGGTATCCGAGTCAGGGAACGTGGAGAGGGGAAGTTCTAAGAGTCATGAGTTCAAGCGCAGATAGGCTGTTCTTTGTCCAGCTCCATTTGCCTTAGAATTTTGTGGTTGTTTTGTGTTTTTATTTTGGTTTCTTTTTTGCAGTCACGTATCCTTCAGTCTTAGCTTCCCTGGGGTCGGTTAGGGACTTTTCATCTTTTTCTGTGTTTCCTTAGGTCCCCTGAGTAAATGGACATGGTTAGAATCTGAGTCATAAACCTGGCGTTCAGTCATCTTAACTTCTGTGAGGCTGGTCAGAATAAGCATTCTTTTTCTTGAAACCCTGAGAGCAGAGGCTCTGGGACACTTGTGGAGCCTTCTGGTCTCTTCTGCTCTGGCTCTGTGGGTGAGGTAATACTTACAGCAAAGCTCCACAGAGTGGGGGAAGGAGATACTGATACAAGACACAAAGGATGGGATGGCATGTTTTTAGACCTAGTCTGGCCTCCTGGCCATCTCTGGGATTCCATAGTTAATTTGTAAGAGAAGGACTTACAGAAGTCTGGGTCTGAAGACCCTGCCAGCAATAGCTCCCCCTGCCTGGCTTTGTCTGAGGGGCTTATACTTTGGACATGCCTTCCTTCTTGCTGTTAGGGATGAGGTAAAGAGGTAATTGCTTGTCTGGGGAATGTGCAGAGCACAGGAAGGGATCCCAGACTGGTCAAATCCAATGAGAAATTGTTGAATTTGGAATTTCGTGGTTCTTTTTGCCAGTTTAGCTGAGCCTTTGGACCACTTCTTTCTCTGTCAGCTTTGGTTCCTGGACACATGCCCTGGAGGTATCCCTCCTCTGATGGGCACAGGCTTTTGGGTGCATATTCCTGACGTGGGTGTTTCGAGGTCTGCTCTGCTTGCCTTGTGTAGCCCCAACAGTACCTGGTCACCCTTCACCTTTGCAGACCATCTCATCATTTCGACTAATGGCAAACCTGATGTAAGACATAGATCACAGTGTGTAGTAACAAGTTTATTGAGATGACGGAAGCTTCTAAAGGGCCTTTAATCCATTAAAGTTTTTAGTGGGATGCTGGGAGAGGCAGTGTGAGGAGACATCATTTTAAGCCAAAACCTTTTCCTATTGATTCTTTTATTGGTTTCTAGACATCGACAAATTGGAAGTCTTGGGGCTCAGTCAGATGCCCTCTTATGCCTTCCAGAGGCACACAGGGAATGGTCATCATTTTTAATGGGACAGACTGGGCACCACCTCTTAGACTCCTTACAGGACCTGAAGATAAGACCATCCAGCCCTCTAGGCCCATTTCCAACTCTCTTCCATATCTCCCATTCCCACAAAGAACCATAAATAATCAAGGGACTGCACATCCAGAGGGGAGCAGGTATGGCCCCCCTGAAGCCTGAAACCCTTCAGCTCGCCACAGTGACTTCTGGAAGTTTAAGAATTGTCAGAAGAAGTTGACGAATTTACTTCCTGGCTGACTCGGCTTTCTGATTTGCCCTGTTTCCTAAGCAGAAGAAAAGTTATATTACATGGTATAGTTTAAAAGAATAAACAATAGCACGTCTGATAATTAGCATCTCCTTCATCAAAACTAGCGATGCCTATATTTCCACTCAGAAACTTATTCTTGGTTTTGTTCAATGTCCATCTTTAGGATTTATTGTAAGCTTGGCATCCCGAGACATCTTCATTCTGTAGTTTGAATCTTGCCATAATTTTTGACCAAAAGCAATGCCATGAATAAGCAGAAGTCTTCCTTGGGCACAGCTATCCATTCTGTGGATTTTCTCCCCCTGGATGAGGGTCAAAGAGTATTTAATTCCCTGCCAATGGAAGTCTCTTGTGCAGTTGTAGCACCAGTGAGAATGTAGAGGGGACTAGGGCGAAGAAGGAAGGGGGGCAGACAGCAGCCCTGACCCTGAGAGCTGCCCTGTCCCCACCCTGTTTCTCTGCAGACTTCTCCATGATGACGCCCATCAATGACCTCCACACAGCTGACTACTTGAACCTGGCCAAGCGCGAGCGGAGCATGCGGTGCAAGATCAGCAGCGTTTATCGTCTCCTAGACCTCTATGGCTGGGCCCAGCTGAGCGACACCTACGTCACGGTGAGCAGAGTGTCTTGGGGTGGGGTGGGTGCTGTGTGTGGCCCTGACAAAATCCCAAGGGGAGCTCCTGCCGGTAGTCATGGCCATGCACTGAGCCCTTCCAACATTTCTAACCACTGTGGCCACCTAAAATAGATAAGCTTCCCATGGCCACTTCCCTGGAGCAGGAGCTAGGAACTCCTGGATCCTATTTCCAGGGCTACCCTTGATCATTGGGAGATTCCTCTTATAGGTCCATTGCTCCAGTTCTAAATAAAGGCCAGGTCCTTTTCATCTCTCAGGTGCTGGGGAGAGATAAGGGTTCTTGGGAGTTTTAGGTGGAGTGGATTCAGGGGAAGAAGGGATTCATGCAGAGGGTCCTTGGAAATGACCCCACTGTCTCCTTGCCACTGAGAACATGTGTCTTCCCTTCAGCTGAGAGTCAACAAGGAACAGGATCACTTCCTGATTAGCCCCAAGGGAGTTTCTTGCAGTGAAGTCACCGCATCCAGCCTGGTAAGTATAGTCTAGCCTCTCGCTGCCCATTGCTTCTTGAAATGACAGCAACCTACAGTGATAGGTCATCTCCAGACTAGCCATTGCTGTCCTGTCCCTCATGGAGCTTGTGGTCTGGCGGGGGTAGAGAAGACACACAGCCCCAAAGCAGGATGCCCAGAGCACAACCCAACCATGAGACCAGATATGAGCGCAGGCAGCCAGTGCAATAGGAGGGAGGAGGGGGCGGAGATAGGCCTGCGGTCCTCTGTGCCTGCAATTGGTCCCCAAAGCCTGGGAATGGGAAGGCCTTCCTAGTTTGGGGAATATATTAAAACAACAGCCACCACTTTGTCTCAAAGCAGTGCAAGACTGGCTTAGTGCTGTACCATTAGCAATAGCTTCCAGGACCCCTTTTGGTTCTCTTATTCCTTTTAGGTATAGTAGGAAGAAACTTCCAGAAGTTGGTCTTAATCAGCAAAGATTCCTGGGTGGGAAGAGAAAAACAGTAGAAAGGACTGTCTTACAAGCAGAAGAGGCCCAGGGGATCTTAGATGCGTGGGCTGCAGCTGCTGTGCTGTTCGCCTGAGGGCAGAGGTTGCCACCTCAGGGCCTCTACCAGGCTTGAGATAGTGGTGTCCAGGTATGCAATTAAAAGAGTCAGCTGACAAAGTGACAGAATATCTAGGCAGGGTAGGACCTTGAGGGCTGCCAAAGCCCCTTTACAGGCAGGAGAGGACGCTGGTGCCCAGGGAGGTAAGTGACTTGCACAGAGCCACCTAAGGAGGTCATGGCCAAGCCACATTAGGGTCAAGGAAGCACAGGCTCTGCCTTAAAAGCATTTGTGACTAATTGGAGAGGCAGGCAAGACAATGATTAAACTCAGTGAAGAAGGCTCCCATACAGCAGGAAAGATGGAGAGCCCAGAAAAGGTGCAAGGGGCAAGGGAGGAACATCTGGGTTGACCCGATGGTGAAGGAGCTAAGTCCCCAGGAGCCCACAGGAGAAGCAGATTTAGACCAGGGCTGTAGGGAGAGACTGGGCAGAGAGAACCGTGTCCTCAGCAGGAGGAGGACGGTTTGCACAAAGCCAGGCACATGCCATATCCTGGTGCACTTGGGAGGACAGTGAGGGGTTGCGTCTGGCTCACGTATTCAGAGTCTGGAAGTGAGGCTGAGAGGGGCATGGGGACCAGATGATACGTGGCCCTAAGAGCATTGTTATGGTGCTTTGGCTTTGCTCTGCTGGACGTGCAGAGCCGCTGAAGCACTGTAAGCAGGTGAGAGAGAGAGAGAGACACACACACATACACACACACACAAATGTGTGACTGCTAGCCATGACATATACTAGCTCCTTGGCTTCAAGAGCAGGTTATAAGACCAGTGACTAGTTTCTACCTGTCCTTTAAGATCTAGCTTTTGGGTGATTGGTAAATGGGTGTTTATCATACTACTATCTTTACTTTTGTGTATGAAGCTTAAAAATTCAAAATAAAGAACCAAAAAACCCAAAAAGTTTCAGCTTAGGTGTTACTCTCTGGGAATGTTTCTCAGATCCCCCTCTTTTACTGGGATCAAAGACTCCTCCCATCTGCTCCTAGAGAATTCTGTGATTCACTCTTTTCTAGCATCTCTACCCAAAGTGTGTTCTGTGGACCAGCAGTACGGCTATCACTTGGGAACTTGTCAGAAATGCAGACTCCTGGGTCACATTCTTGGCCTGTTGAATCAGAATCTGAAAGTTTTTTTTTTATTTAAATTTTAGTTAGTTAACATACAGTGCAATATTGGTTTCAGGAGGAGAATTCAGTGATCCATCACTTACATACCATACCCAGTGCTCGTCACAACACGTGCCTTTCTAATTCCCATCACCCAGTGAGCCCTTCCCACACCCACACCCACATCCTTCCATCAACCCACAGTTTATACTTTATTGTTAAGAATCCCTCACTCCTTTTTTCCCCTTCCCATATTTCATCTGTTTTCTTTCTTAAATTCCACATGTGAGTGAGATCATATGGTATTTGTCTTTCTCCGACTGACTTGTTTCATTTAGCATAATACACTCTAGCTCTATCTATGTCATTGCAACTGGCAAGATTTCATTCTTTTTGATGGCTGAGAAATATTTCACTGTGTGTGTGTGTGTGTGTGTGTGTGTGTGTGTGTGTGTGTGTACACATCTGGTGGTTCTGGCTGGCCCTCAACATAGTAAGGCAGTGGTGTTCACACACACACACACACACACACACACACACACACACACACACTTCACATCTTTATTCATCAGTCGATGGACATTTGCGCTGTCTCCATAGTTTGACTATCGTGCCCCTTCAAATCTGTATTTTTGTATCCTTTGGGTAAATGTCTAGTAGTGCAATTGCTAGATCATAGGTTAGTTCTAGTTTTAACTTTCTGAGGAACCTCCATACTGTTCTCCAGGGTGGCCACCCCAGTTTGCAGAGAATCTGCATTTTGACTGGATCTCTAGGTGATTCTTATACCCAGTCAAGTTTGAGAAACTCCACTCTAGCGTTTTCGCTGCTGAATTATACTCAGCCAACTCTCCTGTTAGCCTGCTCCTCAATCCTGGAGAGAGTGGGTATGGCCCACCTCCTGGGAGAGTCCTGAGTGCGTTTCCCCCCCCCCCCCCCCCCTGCCCCCACCCTGTCCCCACCCTGTGCCTCTGAGTTTCTCTTCCCTGTCCAGATCAAGGTGAACATCCTGGGAGAGGTGGTAGAGAAAGGCAGCAGCTGCTTCCCCGTGGATACCACGGGCTTCTGTCTGCACTCGGCGATCTACGCAGCCAGACCCGACGTGCGCTGTGTCATCCATCTGCACACACCAGCCACTGCCGCCGTGAGTGTCCGCTCCCAGGCCAGCATTTCTGTCCCCAAGGCTGGCAGCAGGCCCATGCTGCCTGCTTCTCTGAGGGGCTCCCTGATGAAAGACTTAAGCCTCCCCAAGCTAGTGTCAATCTCCTTATTTAAAACAGTTCTGGAACGTTTTCCTGGAACTCAGGACAAGGTGAGGAGGGGAAACATCCAGTGTGGTCACCCTAATCCTCTCCATTTTTCTAAGCACAGAAGTATTCATCTGGGGACATGAGGCAAAGATATGCAGTGTTTGCTCTACTGTGTCCCCCTCCCCCCAATACATACACTCACAAATCCCACTTACCCGAGTGACAGCACCTCTTATGTTTCCACTCAGCCCAGTCCTACCAGACTGAGGGATGGCACCTGCCCCAACCCCCACCCCCAGCCCAGGCTCTGGTGAGGAGAGAGCTTGATAAAACATAAGATGGTGGGAACCTGGACTTGTCCACTTTTCATAGCCCGGGGTAGGCTGCGAGCTGAGGACAGGAGCAAGGAAAACTCAGAGCAGAAGGAATACCTTTAAGGATCAGGTTGTCCCCTCAGAGTCTCTGGCAATAAAGCACTGTAATGTCACTTGGAAAGGCAACAACCAAGCAGGTCTGGGTGTCCTCTCAACCTTCAACCCATCTTACTGACTTCTAGGCCTTACCCCTGCACGAGCAGAGTGGACTGCTCATTGGCTCAGGGTTTTTCTGCAAAGCACACCAGTTATGAGCAAGCAGATTTTCCAGAATTTGGCCAAGACTGAATGATCTGTTTGTGCTGAGTATCCATTTCTGCAGAGCCCTGGCTTACTCATGGGGCAGAATGAGGGAACAAAAGCAAGAGGCTCTCCTAAACCTCTCCATGCTCCTTGCTTTTAATAAAAGGCAGGGTATGGAGCCTGGATTTTAACCCTATTCCCTGGCACTCTTGTTGCCCTGTCACTAGTCAAAGGGGACCTCTCAATGGGTCTCCCTCTTTCCGCACTGACCTCAAGGCTGAGGATTTCCACAAGCTCACCCCAGAGGCCCCTAGACCCTGCTTCACTCCAGCCTGGTGCTAGGTAGCCCCACTACCCCCAACCTCTTCCCAGAGTCCTAGGACAAGAGAAAAGCAGGGGGGTGGGCAGCAGCACTAGCTTTCTCAAAGGCATTCTTTGTAGCAATTTTAGAGAGAGGTATATTGATATAGCTACTGTCAAAATGGTGATGGAAAGACATCAGAGGAAGCAGACAGAAAGCCAGAGCCCAGCCAGGTGCAGCAGAGTCAAAGGGCAGTGCCTTTCTTGAGGGCTTGCTCCCAAGCCCACTGGTCCCCAGAGGAGAGCCTGGCTGTGCCACTCTGAGGAAAGGGCAGAGACGGGATGGGGGAGCTGCGGGTGCTGACACTTCCATTGTCTCACTAAAGGTGTCGGCTATGAAGTGTGGCCTCCTGCCTGTCTCCCACAATGCCCTGCTAGTGGGGGACATGGCCTATTATGACTTCAATGGTGGGATGGAGCAGGAAGCGGATCGAATCAGCCTGCAGAAGTGCCTTGGACCCACCTGCAAGGTTTGCTCAGCTGTTGCGGGAAGACACTCGGGTGGGATTGCCCAAAGCCTACCTCATGAGTGACATGTGTTCAGTGGACAATGTGTAGAAGTTGCACGTAAACAAAAAAGTGAAATGAAATTCTTTATCCCATTATCCCGAGATTTTGGCGCGCATTCCACAAGCATTCACATATCTTTAGCAAACTAAGAACATAAAATTATTTTCCTTTTTTCCCTTAGTAATATCCAGTAAACACCTTTGCATATTATTAAATATTTTCCAAATCACTATTTTAAGATTTTATTTATTTATTTGACAGACAGAGATCACAAGCAGGCAGAGAGGCAGGCAGAGAGAGAGAAGGAAGCAGGCTCGCCGCTGAGCAGAGACCCCAATGCAGGGCTCGATCCCAGCACCCTGGGATCATGACCTGAGCCGAAGGTAGAGGCTTTAACACACTGAGCCACCCAGGCGCCCCTAAATCACTATTTTAAATCATTAGGTTATATCTCATCATATAAATGGCTGTGTCACCATTTACCTTAACAGTCCTCTGTGATTGGACACTGGAAGGTTCCTTGATGTAAACAACACAGGATGAAAATCCTCTTAGCTGAATCTCTGTAAGTGCTTGAGATCATTTCCTTGGGATACATTCCTAGGGATACACATTTTAGAACTCTTACTTCCTGTAGGCACATTGCCCTCTCCTCCCCCAGAATCTAGTTATGAGAATGCTGCTTCCCTGCAGTCTCCCCAAACTTGAGTGTTACCACTCTTTTTTTAAAAAGATTTTATTTATTTATTTGACAGACAGAGATCACAAGCAAGCAGAGAGGCAGACAGAGCGGGGCGGGAAGCAGGCTCCCTGTTGAGCAGAGAGCCCGATGTGGGACTTGATCCCAGGACCCTGAGATCATGACCCGAGCCGAAGGCAGAGGCTTAACCCACTGAGCCACCCAGGCGCCCCACCACTTTTTTTTCTTTTGCTAACTTGATAGAGAAAAACAGAATCTCGTATTGTTTGGCTTAAATCTAAAGACTTATTTCTTCACAGCACATCGTCAGGGGTAGGCAGCTTAGTATGGGAATTTCTGAAGCTGAGCTTAGGTTGATGGACACTTGACTCTGTCCTCGAAAGGCACTCACTGCCTGAGTCATTTCCAGTCTGGGAGCCTCCGCCTTCCCATCTCTGACACAGAGGAGAAACCCCACCACTCTCTCCCACATTCCCTAAAGCCTCATTAGTAGTGCCCGGAGAGGGAGGAGATGTTCACATCTGTGAAATGCTACAAGAATTTCAGAGATGGGGCATTTACTATCTGCAAAATCTTTTTAGGCCAGAGTCCTCCTCTCTTTCCATTTCTCTGGCACTTGAGAGGAAAAACCTCCAGCTGTTTCAGCACGAGACGATGAGATGATGAGGCCAGTAGGCCTCAGCCCGGGTCTGTGTCCCTGCTGCTGGACAGGCGTCACCTGGTTTCAGGGAGTTCATGAGGATAAGACCAATCAAGAAAACAGTTTCTGATCTGAATTTTGGGGAGTCAGGCTCTTGGTATAAACTCATTTCTGCTTCTTTCCCTTTTGTCTGCCTGTTCCTGGCAGAGTCACAAACGTTGTTCCAACAGTGAGAACACCTGGGTTCTAGTTCTGATTCTGCCCCTGATTAGCTGGGACCCTTTTGATTTCTTTAGGCTTCTGTCTCCTCTTCTGAAAAACCAGAGAGTTAGAGTAGAAGGTCACTATTGCCTCCTTCACAGAGGTGTAGGATTTTAGAGCTACTGGGGCCTCACTGAGCTCATGGAGAGGAGACTTGAGGTCCAGAGAGCTGACAGGACTCACCTGTCTCTGCAGGGCCACCCTGCAGAGAGCCACCCTCTTGGGTTCTGATTTCCAAGCCAACTAAGTCACAGGAGCAAGAGCTTGCTTTTGAGGTTAGACCCTTCTATTGGACATGAAGTAATTTCATTCACTTTAACACAGACACCAGTTTTTCAGACTTCGAAGTTCTCCAAGGCCTAAAAATCCAGGGATAGCCCAAAGAGATCCACCAAGCTCTCTAGTCTCTGTTTTAAAAAGCATCTTCTAGGGGCACCTAGGTGGCTTAGTCATTAAGTGGCTGCCTTCTGCTCAGTTCATGATCCTGAACTGATCCTGGGATGGAGCCCCGCATTGGGCTCCCTGCTCTGCGGGAAGCCTGCTTCTCCCTCTCCCATTCCCCTTTCTTGTGTTCCCTCTCTCACTGTGTCCCTCTCTGTCAAATAAATAAAATCTTTTTAAAAAATAAATTAATAAAATAAAAAGCATCTTCTATTTGTTAGGGAGGTTGCTTAGGGTTAGCATCACATGTGGGGTAGCACTGGGGTGTTTGTATGGGAAGAATGAACAAGGAGTTGAGGGCATGCTTTGGGAGTGGATATGGAAACTGATCTGGAGTAAATGAAAGATCTCTCCTTCTTCACTAAAGTTTAAACAGCTTGAAGTTTTAATTGGCCATTTGTTCCTCTGTAGATCCTGGTGCTAAGAAACCATGGCGTGGTTGCTCTAGGTGACACTGTGGAGGAGGCGTTTTATAAGATCTTCCACCTGCAGGCTGCGTGTGAGATACAGGTGAGCAAGGTCCCCTGGGGAGGGGGCCCTGGCATGGCTCTGGCAGAGGCCCCCCCGGCCGTGATTTAAGGAGTCCTGGGAGCCAGCCCTCTAAAAGCCTTGCCCTATTTCTCTGCCTTGGCACCATCTTATCCTTCTAAAGATTCACACTTATGATCAGTTTTGTAACTTTAAAATATTCATCACTGTTGCCTAACAACCAGTACCCTCCTCTTGGGGGGCAGTGCCTGGGACAGGGAGCTCCCCAGGTCCATCAGTTGGAGCGTCGGAGAAATCGTAATAGGGGATATAACAGTTCTTACCCTTAAGTGTTACCTGGGATATAATTGTTACATCTAGCTATGCCAGATAGACACCACGTCATAGGTTGGTCTTTTCTTTTTTTTTGTCTGGAGGGTGTAGTTTGAAAAGACCATGAACATGGTCTGGCCCAGAAAGGGGTGAAGTTACACATGGCAACCCTGAACACCAGGAACCCCCAGCATAACATCCAGGGAGCCCATCAGGAGGTTCTCCTAACTAGTCGGGGATGGGGTGGAGGGTGGGTGGGGATTGTCAGCAGCCATGGGACCCCTAAAGAAATGGGTGGAAAAGCAATAGGAAAACACAAATCCTATAGCTTTGCCAGATAACAAGGGGGTGTTACATAAGCCAAACACATGCCCCCTTCAGTGTGGCAAGCTGGCAGGGGTGAGTAAGGGGGTCTTGCCAGCTGAAGGCACTCACCATCCTTCCCAGCTCTGGAATATGTGTCTTTGGGTCAGGGAATTGCTTTCCACAGTCTGTTGTTTCCTCAGCTGGATATCGGGGGCCTATGGGGTCCTTGTGAGGTTGGGGCCTTTCAAATAAGGAGAGGTGTTGCTGATGGTATTTTAAGGACTCAGTTGACAGAAGGGAAAGCTAAGTGCTCCAGGATGAGTCAGTCCTCTGCAAGGTCCTTGGGTGTCCTGTCTGCCCTCCCCTGGCTGGTCTGGGCAGAGCAGTGCCCCAGGCGGAAGGCCTGCCTTTGTTTTAGGAGTTGTAGGACAGGGGAAAGAATGGGATAATCCCAGAGGTATTGCTAGTGGAGGTTCTGTAATTCCCATGGAATGAGAATTCTGCAAGTGGCACCTTTCTCAATAGTTTTTAATTGTGTATGTTGAGAGGACAGTTGTTAAGACAATGATGAAGAGGTGTTAGAAGTGGGATGAGACTGCTCCATCCCCCTAGACAGCAGTAGTCAGAACAGAAGGTGGAGAAGGGAAAACCAGGATCAAAGCAGTTCCTTTCTGATGCAGCGGCCTCCCTGCCCCAACCAAAGGTGGGCCCTGAGCTCTTACCCCTGACTGATGTTAGAACCTGGCAGACTCTTTCTTTTCCCCATATCTGCGCTCTAATGAGTCCCCCCCATCTTCCTTCTAAAGAAGAGGTTTCCACGAGAAAATAGTTCTTACAGCTTTGCAAAGACAGCATGGCCTGAAAAAGAATGGTGGGAGATCCTCTGCCTCCCCCCCATGTGGGGGGGGGATGGCTCTCTACACTGAGAAATGGCCTCTGTACTGTTTAACCAAAGGCAGGATGGCCGTCTAGCAGCTGGGGAGATGAAAGCGCAGAGCTGCCAGGCACCGGCCCCAACAGCCCCAGCGGCTTCTCTTGGCCCTGCCTGCTGTCACTTTGTTTTCAGTCAGGACTCATTCCATGGGACCTTGTTAAAGTGCATCAGGCGATGGAAGCAAATAACCCCCAGAAAAGCACCCATGGCTCTTTTTGGCTTCAGGGAGGCTTCTAGAGAGAGAAAGGAAGCTGGAGAGTGTAGAAGCAGAACAGGCCAGATTAGACCAGAGGTGTGTGTGGTTTAGGGCATGGGTGACCACAGGGGCTAGCAGTCTGCAGATGCTATTGGGATGGCAGCCCCTGGCCAGGCTCATTTCTGTTTGAACAGCCTCCACTGACATTCTGTTTCCATCGTGGGCCTCCTTTTCTCCCTCACTGACCTTGGCCGACAAGCATACGTGGCTGTGGTCATTTTAGTGGTTCAAGGCTAAGAGCCTAGTCCGTTCTTCAGGGGACAGTGTTCTCATCGCTCTCCATCGGTCTGGGGTTCTAGGAAACTGGGTCACCCCAGCTGAGAGAGGCAGCTCCCTGCTCTGCTTACAGAGCAGACTTGCTCAGGCAATTCTTCTCCATCTGCTCCCCATTGCCATGGAAACTGATGGGGGAAGAGGGAGGTGGGAGGAGGCCCAGCTCTTGTAAGAATGTGGGCAGTTCTCTCCTCCGTGAATGACTAGTCCCCTGGGCACATCGTTTCTTTCATAGTAAAACCTCTGCATATATTGATCATAAACACTGACGTGGCACTCTCTGCACCAGGTGCTCTTACATGCTTTACAATTATCACCCTCCATAATGCTCATAAGGTAGATACTACTATTTTTTTCATTTTACAGATGAGAAAACAGGCACAGAGAGGGTAAATAGCTGTTTCAGGTCACACAGCTAGTAAGTGTCAGTGCCAGGAGTCAAACCCAGGCAGCCTGTGTCCAAGTCCATGTTCTTAAACACTACACTGCACTGCCTAGAGCGGGGGGAGATGAGGGTCTGCGGGAAAGATCAGCTGACAGTCAGCACTGCAAGTCAGGATTCCAGGGTCCCAAGCCCCGCCTTGGCCAGGTGAGGGTCTGGGATGAACCAGGTAATGGATCTACCATCTGGGATTGGCTGCCATTGAGAGTGCATTCCCTCGCACTCAGCCTCTGGAGGACGCAGGACTTCGGCATGAGAAAACATGGCAACGGAGGCCCAAACCGGAATTAGTGAACGAACATAGCAAAAAGGTGGATTTACACTCTGTAATCTGTATCAACTCACCGTAACCCTTCAAACGTTTGGACAACAGTGTAGTAGGCTGCCTCACTAAGCATGCAGCTGGCTATCTTCCAGGGATACTGGACAAGGACCCTTAGCTTTGGTGGGAAGATGGCATCAATGACTATTCAAGTCTCCACCTTTGCCAGATAAAAATGCAGCCCAAATGAGTGTTCTTGCTTCCACCTCTTCACAGCGTGACAGGGGTCACCTTGCAAAGGTGGCCTGGCTGACCTCCAGGAAGTCTCATAGGAGCCATTTGTTACACTGGTGGATCTAACACGCTCTGGGGGTGTGTGACGGGTCCTCACGGGCTCATAGATGCATGTCGGCCAGCAAGCTCAATTGCATCCTTTCCTTTTCAGTAAAAACGGGAACACTGGAAGTTTATATAATCAAATCCTTCTCCTGTAATAAGTAGGCTTACAGGAGATATCAAATATTAATCTGATTGCAGCACAGGACACCTGGCTCCCTGCCGAGAAGACTCGGAAACCACGCTCTCTCCCTCTTGCTGGTCTCACCCTGGATGCCAAATCATAACCAATTATATCTGAGTAGACAGAAGGTACCATTAGATGGGTATGATTAATTAGATTAATAAATGTTTTCTAGGATCATTCTAAAATCACCTGCTGTATACACCCACCTCTTGTCCTAATACTCAGCTCATCGCCAGCAGCCACTTGTTCTGTCCCCTTGCTGAGGAGCCCAGACAGTGGAGCGAACGCTCCAAGAGCACCGGCGAAGCTTCTTGACCCTCCACGGGGCCTGGCTGTGTATTCCCAGCCCTTCAGGTGTCTTCTTCGTCTGGGTTTCCTCGACTGAGCAGTACCGCTGTGGAAGATGAGCTCTGCCTTTAGGCCAGCTCATTCGGGCCATCAGGCTACTCTCCTGGTTTATTGGCCGAGGAGCCAGCCTATTTCTTTCAAGTGACTTTTTGCTTAAAAAAAAAAAAAAAAAAAAAGGCAAGGGAAGATATTTCAAACACACAGAAAGATGCAGAAGAATAATGTACACCCACTACCCACCACTCAGATTCAAAAAAATAAAAGCCTTTTTACTTATTACTGACAAGAATTGAAGTCCCCTTTGGAGCCTTTTCTGACCGTACTCCCCACCCTCCCCAGAAATAATCACAAACTGAGGTTGGTCAGTATCCCAGGTAACTTTTCAGCCCTCTGTATTGCTTTATTCCTAAGGTTTGACACTTGCTCTTCCTCCTCTTCTATAGTTTCTAAGAACTAACATGAGGAAAAAACTGCTAAGACCTCTTTCCCTGAATGTGGGTCCATGTCCAGTAACTTTGGAGTAGCTTTTCCTCTGGGCAAGAAAAAGCCAAATACAGCTCACATTTCTGGACATGTATCCACGCACATGCATACTGAGGTCCTTCTGCTCTTCACTGCAGGTTTCTGCCCTGTCCGGCGCTGGGGGAGTGGACAACCTCATCCTCCTGGAGGAGAAGCACCGACCCCACCAAGTGGGCTCCGTGCAGTGGGCAGGGAGCACCTTTGGGCCCATGCAGAAGAACCGGCTGGGGGAGCACGAGTTTGAGGCCCTCATGAGGATGCTGGACAACCTGGTGGGTCTCCTGCCATTGCCCTTCCCAGCCAGTTGGTTGAGACTCAGTGCCCTGGAACCAGTCAGGGGGGACGCAGTATGTGGGCATGAGAACAGCATCAGGGTGAAGTTGTTAAAGCCTCATTGATTGGCAACTGTCTCAGAATTTGTGGTCATTCTAATAGTAATTGAGTTTCTTAAATGATGGCCTTCACCGCCCCCGTTCTAAAGGCTGTCGATGACATCTTATATTGTGGCACAGTTCACTCTTTTATAGTTAGTTCTGCCTTTGTTATCTCATGACTTTAATGTAGAAACCACATAATACTCTAATTTCCTTATTCTGATGAGCAGCATTCGAACAACACCCTGTCATAATGACTGAATGAATCAGTCATGTAAGGAGTTAACTGGTATGTGTCTAGGTGGGCTTTAAGGATACAAAATCTTGGAGCACCTGCGTGGCTCAGTGGGTTAAAGCCCTTGCCTTCAGCTCGGGTCATGGTCCCATCGGGCTTTCTGCTCCGCAGGGAGCCTGCTTCCTCCTCTGCCTGCCTCTCTGCCTACTTATGATCTCTGTCAAATAAATAAATAAAATCTTTAAAAAAAAATAAAGGATACAAAATCTAACAATTTGGTTGATAATACGACATATAAATAGGAGACGGTTGGAGAACAAGAAGAAAGCGTGCACGATGAGAAGCTAGTTGCAGGAAGAAACCATAACTTCTTTGACTGCTCAGAGAAATGAAGATGAAACCTATCCTTGGACCGTTTCTATATCTGATTCATGTTCCCTTCCTCACTGCTACTACCTTGGACCCTCTTTATTGTGTCCAGGTCATTGCAATAGTTAATCTTTTTCTCCTTGCCTCCAGTCCCTCCAAACCATCCCTATCTTATTACTAGGCTGACTGTGAGGGTCACTTTATACTAATGAAAAACACAACCCACCTTGAAGATACAGTTCCCATTGACATTCATGTGCCAAGTAACCCACGCCTAAATAAAGCACCAGAGCCAGACAGTTTCATATGGGAAGTCTTTCAAATCTTTAAGAAGACAGACAAACCAAAAAAACCCTTTTTTAAAAGATTGTATTTATTTATTTGAGAGAGAGAGAGAGAGAGAGAGAGAGAGTGTGCACAAGCAGGGGGAGCAGCAGGCAGAGGAAGAAGGAGAATCAGGCTCCCCACGGAATAGGAGCCTGACGTGGGGCTTGATCCCAGGACCCCAGGATCATGACCTGAGCCAAAGGCAGGTATTTAACCAACTGAGGCACCCAGGCGCCCAACATACAGACAATTCTTATGCCATTTAAATTGTTTCAGAGAGTGAAAGTGGGACATGAAACCATAATAATTATAACACATTCAGACCAATCTTGCTTTGAGTCGATAAAAAGTGCTGCATGGAAGCTAGCAGGTAGTATCTTGCATAACCTTAGAATAATAATGATACATAAAAACCAAGTGAAGGCTCATTCCTAGTATTCAAGGATGGTTTAATATCATAAATCTTTTAAATATATTTCATGATATTAGTGCATCAAAGGACCTTTTGGCCATTAATAAATATCAAAAATTATTTGATAAAAAGGTAGTGTCACTTTATACAAATAATAGCTGTTAAGAGAGGAGAAGACTTACTCGACATGATGAAAATGATATTTTTCTCAAAACAAGAGTCAATATCCTAGTAAAACACTAGAAAAATTTCCATTAAATTTTGAAACAAAACAAGTGATTCTTGCTGTCCAAACTTTTATTACTGTTCTGGAATAACACTGGAATTCAATCTAAAGTGGTGAGGTATAAAAATAAAACAAATATTGAAAAGGAAACAAAATTACTATTCAGTTTAGATAGTATGGTTACATGTCTATAAAATGTCAGAGTCAACGGAGAAAAAATATTAGAAATAGTGAGTACCTTTTAAAGTAGTCAGTTATGGGGACGCCTGGGTGGCTCAGTCGGTTAAGCAGCTGCCTTTGGCTCAGGTCATGATCCCAGCATCCTGGGTTTGAGTCCCACATTGGGCTCCTTGCTCGGCGGGGAGCCTGCTTCTCCCTCTGCCTCTGCTGCCACTCTGCCTGCCTGTGCTCGCTTGCTCTCTCTCTCTGGCAAATAAATAAAATCTTTAAAAAAAATAAAAAAAATTTTTTTAAAGTAGTTATGAAAATGTATTTAGAAATTAGTAGCTTTTTTGCATCTCAACATATAATATATTTGAAAATATAGTAATGGGAGAAAATAGCCCATTTGCAAATGCAGAAGGAACATAAAACATGAAGCAGAACTGATTTAAAGAAAACCATAATTCTTTACCAATAGGCATCAAGAGAAAACCTGAATTTAATAAAGAGCCACAATTTCCTGTTGGTTAGAAAATTCCATAGGGTTAAGAGGTTGCTTTTCCAAATTAATAAACTCCGTGTAATTCCTTCAGTGAGAGGGGAGCACAGAGGACTTAGCAAAAATGTTTTTCCAAGTGAACTTCAGAATGGATAGGAAATCCTATAGAAAGAAAAGTAATTAGGGATACTTGTCCCATCACAAGGTAAATCATGAAAAACTTCAGCAACTAAACAGAAGAGCAGAGGGGCACCAGGGCAGAATGAACAGGGGAATCAGTGGGACAGCTTAGAGAATCCAGAAATAGATCCTAAATGGATGAGAATTTAACATGCGGCAAGAAGGCATCTTATAAAGCAGTGGGAGAAAGATTGCTGGCCCTTTGGGAAATAAATAAGGTGGATCATTCCTTTCAACAAGATGAATTCCTGATTTATCAAAACTTTGAACATAAAGAGTAAATTCATATAGATATTAAAAAGAAGATTTATATTTTTGATGCTCTTGTGTTGGGAAAGAACTTGTCAGGTATGGTGGGAAAGTGTGAAATCATGATGGCAAATATTAACAGATATGATTATATTTAAATGGAAAATGTATATTTTTATAAACTATCCCTCCCATCATAAATAAAGCTAAAAGACAAACTATGGAGGAAAATACTGCAACATCTGTGACAGTCAAAAAATTAATATCCTTAATGTAGAAGGAGGTATTATGAATCAATGTGAAAACAATAAATATCTCAACAGAAAAATGAACCAAGAACACAAGCAGTTTACGAAGGAAGACATTCAAGTGGCCATTAAAAATGTCTAGTTTTACTATTAATCAAAAAAGAATTTAAAAAATTGGAGGATTTTACTTTTAACCCTTCTGATTGCCAAAGTTTTTTTTTAATTTTTAAAAATATTTATTTATTTATTTGACAGAGAGATCACAAGTAGGCAGAGAGGAAGGCAGAGAGAGAGAGGGAAGCAGGCTCCCTGCTGAGCAGGGAGCCCGACTTGGGGCTCGATCCCAGGACCCTGGGACCACGACCCGAGCGGAAGGCAGAGGTCTTAACCCACTGAGCCACCCAGGTGCCCCCAAAGATTTTTTTTTTTTTAAACCTCAGCAATATTCAGCAGATGGGAGGGAGATGAGAGCTGGGAACTCCAGCCCAACTGGTAGAAGTATAAATTGGCTCAACATTTTGGGAAAATGGTAAATACATTAAAACTTTTAATGTATATCTTTTGGCCTGGTACTTTTTATTCTAGGAATTCAAGAAGAGAATAATTTAAAGAATGAAAGAAAATAGATTTGCCTAAAGAAAAATGTATAAAGATATTATTTCACAGTAGTTTATGATATTTTAAAAATGACAAAGTGTCAGTGCTATCAATTACTTTTTACTAAATCATTAAAAAATAAAGGTTTCTATGTATTAAAGGTTCAGTAATGTGGAAAAAATCTCAATAAACTAGAAAAACAGCTTGTAAAGTTGCTTATGCAGTATGGTCCCATTTTTATCCAGTTATATATATTCTGTAGTTATATATTATATATATGCTAACACACATGCATATATATATATATATATTTATATTTATATTTATATTTATATTTATATTTATTTATTTACAGAGATGACCAGAAAGATTTTTAGTGGTTATCTCTGGGGATGAGATTTTTTTTTTAATAGAACCCACTTTTTTCTTATGTTTTTCCATATTGCCTGATTTTTCTAGATAGGTCTATATTTATAATTGGAAAAATATTTTAATATCTCTTTAATATATAAAAAAAAAAGAAGAAGAAGATAGGCAAAGCCAAGAAAGAATCATAGGAGGAGGTGTCAAGGTGGCTGAATGTTCTCACTGAGCAGGAGTCATTTCTATCTCTGTGGGACATGGTCTGTTTAGGATACAAGGATGTTCCTGAGTCAAGTTTCAGGGTTCCAAGAAGGAAATGGTTTAGAAGTCTTGGAGTCAAGAAAATGAGGGTTGACTGTTAGAAAGAGCTGGAAGGCTTTTAAAAATCCTGCAGCCCAGATCACACCCCTCTCTACTGGAAATCAGCCGCTCTGAGGTGGGCCCAGGATCCCAGTGTGTAGCCATGGCCAAGGACCCCTGGAGTAGATGGAAAATTGGAGCACTGTTAGGGTAAGGAGCCTTGTCTGTCTGGTCTGCAAGGTTCTAGGGATTTTCTTAGCTCTGATCAGAGGGCTTGTTGGGGCGAAGGAAGAGGCTGGGGGACCAGGAGAAGGGAACAATTCTGAAACACATCAAAGGAGCAGCAAGGCTGACGTTGTGTTATGGAGTTTTTGGGTTAAACTGAGTCCTTCAGAAAGAAGGAGGGCGAAGTGTGTGTGCGATATGTGCGTGGGGGCCATGTTCCCCATAGTAAGTGGTTCTGTTTCTGTCCTTTTTAGGGTTACAGAACAGGCTACCCGTACCGATACCCCATTGTTCAAGAGAAAACCAAACACAAAAGTGAGGTGGAGATCCCAGCCACTGTCACAGCCTTCGTGTTTGAGGAGGACGGTGCCCCGGTGCCCACCCTGCTGCAGCATGCCCAGAAGCAGCAGAAGGAGAAGACCCGTTGGCTCAACACGCCCAACACCTACCTGCGGGTCAATGTGGCCGATGAGGTCCAGAGGAGCATGGGCACCCCCCGGCCCAAGACCACAGTAAGGAGGAGATCGGGGTGGAGGGAGGGCATGTGGCTCCATCTGTGAGTCAAGCAGCTTTAAAAGGAGAACAGAACAAATATCCCTTGGGCTGGGTTATTCCCTTTAGGGCTTCCTCTTGGGCATCTAGGAGCAGCTGCTCATGCCCATAGAGCCTCTGATCACCAGTTTCTTGCAACTCTGCACTGAGTTTTGGGGCTGAGGAGCAAATTTCTCCAGGGGGTGAAATTTCTCCAGGGGGCTGGACCTCACTCCCAACAGCACAAAACCCAGGAGCAATTGGCTTTTGCTTCTTGCTCCCCCTTTTACAGGGTCCTTTTGGGAAGTACATGGGCATCCAACATTTGGACTGTCCATCTGGTGCAAACCCAGAAAGTGGGTGGGATATTAATTTCTATTAAGTTGTCTCCTCCCTCCCCCACCTTCTCTGTCTCTCTGTCTCTTTCTCTCTCTCTGTCTCCCTCACACACGCACCAGTACACGCACACATCAACTCTAATTTGATGTTTCATTAATAGTAAAGTAGCTGGAAGCCAAATAGGATAGCTCTTTATTAGAAAAAAAAAAAAAAATGAAGCCCTGCAAATTAAAATCAGTAAGTCAGGGCACCTGGGTGACTCAGTTGGCACTGGACTCTTCAGCTCGAGTCATGATCTCAGTCAGGGTTGTGAGATCAAGCTTTACGTGCTCCGTGTGGAGTCTGCTTGAGATTCTCTCTCTCCCTGTCCCCCTGCTCTCTCTCTCTCTCTCTCCCCCTATCTTTCTCTCCCTCTAAATAAGTAAATAAAATTGAAAATCATTAAGTCATATGATACTAAAGTTCAAGTGGCTGCCTGTTTGTCACATTGGTTGTCAAGGTTCTGAGCCCCACTCTCCAGCGCTCTTGATGGCTGACTGTTGATCTGGGGGCCTTCTTTGGCAACCAGGTCATTTGTTCCTCATCTCTGTTTTGGGAGACAGACAGTCCTGAAGGAGGCCCAAGAAGAGAGAACATCTTTGCATAGGCTTGCTGACCTTCCTTGGGGGGCCGGTTAGCCCAGATCTCAGGGGTGGGCCATAGGGGAAGATATGGTGATTTATTCCTTTGCCTTACCCTGGCCTTGTGTGTGTTCAGTGGATGAAGGCTGATGAGGTGGAGAAATCCAGCAGTGGCATGCCAATACGGATCGAAAACCCAAACCAATTTGTGCCTCTCTATACCGACCCCCAAGAAGTGCTGGACATGCGGAACAAGGTAAGACGGGAGCTGCTTCTCTTACCATCTCTTCTCCCCCAAGCGGGGAGCAATCTCAGGTCCCACAAATATGAGCTGACTTTCTGGGATGTACCTTTCTTATCAAAACCCCAGATTCCGCTTAGGGGAAAGAAACGACCATTTATGGGCCCAACTCTAGCACTGTGCTAATTCTATACTTAACGTGGTCCTAAATAACCCTCATACATATAGAGGGCTTGTGTGAGACATTAGATACGTCTAAAAAACCGGCCCACAAATTGAGTTTTTGTGAATTTTATGCTATTCTCCTTTTGGCTCATTTTCAAAATTTCAAAATCCTTTATATTTATCTCTCAACCTTTGCTTTACAGTTCACTCACTCACGTTTCTCATGTTACTTTAAAAACTTAGGTTGTAGTAGACCCCCTCCAAAAGGTCGGGTGCACTCCCAGAGCAGTGACTTACTATATGGTTCAAGGACCCTCTGCAAGGTTGGTTTAAAATGCACGTGCCCGGGTCAATCCTCTTGTTCCTCCCCAAGGAGGGACTCCAATTCAGTAGTTGTAGGGTGGCGCCAGGAGTTTGTGATGGTCAAGAAATTTCTCAGGGGCTTCAGTGAAGCGTGAGGATCCCCGTCAAGGATCTCCTGTGCCTCGTCTCACTCCTCACCTCTTACAGTTACCTCCTCAGAGTTCATGATAATCCGGTATTTTACAAACTGGTCATTTGTCTCTTAGAGGACACACTGTGTCAAGAAATAGGGGAGAGAGGCCCCTCACCCCCACTGGAGGACCTTTGTAGACCCTAGTCACAGGGCACACGAGACACCAGGATGCCCTCTGAATGCCCCCTCCCCCCACACGCTGATGCTCAACAGCTAGCTCACTCTCCCCTTCCCTTGCCTCACAGATTCGAGAACAAAACCGACAAGACGTGAAGTCAGCAGGGCCTCAGTCCCAGCTCCTGGCGAGTGTCATCGCTGAGAAGAGTCGAAGCCCGGTACAGCAGAAGCTGCCCCTGTCTGGAGGGGAAACATGTTTGCCTTCTGGGTCTTCAGTACCTGGGGCTGGGCAGCAGGACCCCTGAGTCCTCATGCCCACCCTCCCCTGATCTTGGGCGCTGGTGCTCTTGCTACAGGACAGATGCTGTGAGGACCAGGGACAGTGTGTAATTGCCCCCTGTGGGTCCCGGGCAGGGGGGCAGCAGCCCAGCCTGCCCCCGGAGTGATGCTGACTTCCATGCTTTACCCATGGAACTCCACTCTGCCCTTTGTTGGTATCCTGCAAAGTGGGCATCACAGGAGTGTGGCCGGCAGCTCCCGGCTGCTCCAGGCCTGCCTGCCCTGAGCGTTTCTGGCCTCTGTGCATGGATATGGCATCATGAGGCCATAGCTCTGGGAAGATGCTCATGGGGTCGCAGAGAGGAGGCATGTACATAAGGACTGGTGCTCCATTTGGGACGGTTAGTTGCCCACACAAACCCCCATAGAGTTAGAAAGTATAAAGTTGTTTCCATGCCTGAGATAGGACAGTGTTTGTCTAGTGCTTAGCAAAAAAGGATAAAGATCAGAATTCTGGCTTCTGTTGAAGACCACTGCTACTTATGGCAAGGTAGCAACGTGGATAGCATTTTCCTTAGTGGTAGGAAGGGGAAAGATACAGGAACTGTTCCTCTCTGGAGAGTAAAGTGAGATCGTTGAGGGCAGGCTGCAGCCCACAAGGTGGGTGCCCATGTAGGGAAGTGTGAAGGTTATGTCATTGTACCACCATTGTCACCCACTGCCACTAGCCAGGATGAGGAATGCCAAAAGTGCCATGGGACCACGGATAGAGAAACCCCATGGTACTGGGGTGGGAGCTCAATACAGTTAGCAAAATTGATAAAAACTCTGCCATTTGTGCCAAGTGTTCTCCTTGGAGTCCCTCTTCTTGGGACCCTGGGCTTGGATTCTGTTTTGAACTCTGTGATTCCTTAAGATAGGCCCGTGCTACTTCTGTTTCTGAAGATGCCATGGGCCACCCTCAGAGGACCTGGCAAGCCAGGGAAGGCAGCCCAGAGTGCATGGCATGGGCCCACTATCCTGGGCTCGCCTCCCCTGCATTTCGCGCTCTTTGGCCTCAGCTTCAGGGCGGCGCATTCTCAAAGGCCAAGCTGAGGATGCCAAATTAGGAGAGAGGGCTACGGGGTCTGAATTTTAGACCCTGTCATGGGCTAGAGGGGACAAAGGATTCCTGAAGCTCACACAAGGCCCCGCTGGTGAGCTCCCAGAGGCGGCAGCTCCACAAAGTCCCCCAGGGGTTTTGGCCAGTGTCTCTCCCCCACGTCCCCCACCAGGGACCTGCAGTCCAGGCAGGTTGAAGATCCAAGATTCAGGACCTTGGCCCCTTGTAATTTATGACTGTGTGCAAAACAGGACTAACAGTTTGGACTGAGAACGCTGAAGCCATTGTGTGTTTTGCATTTGACTTCCTGCTGTGTGCTGTGGCTTGTGCTGCTGTTGGGGGGTGGGAGGAGGGCACAGTGGGGAATGGCTGGCATGAAGCGGGCTTGAGCCAGTGCTTTGCTTGCTGGCTTTTGGCTAACTGACTCCGGGCTGTCGACTGTATTTGCGTAGTGATGGCTTGCAAGCATCCGCAGGAGGGACTGCAATAAACGTGTGTCTTCCTTCCACTTGGGAGCATCCTTCGATTTTATTTCCGGGGCAGAGGGTGGACTCCCTGCATTCATCCAGGCAGTTGCAAAGAACCCAGGTCTGGGGGTGAGGTAGCTGTGGGAAGGAATGAACAAGCCCTGCCCCAAGGCCCTGAGCTGTTTCCGAGGAGCCGCATGCCACGCTGCCCCTGGCAGGACCGCTGGCAGCCACATGAGTCTGAGAGGACGCTCGGGCCTGGGCCCTGACTGCGGCATTCAGAGAGCAACACACACTCTGTGGTTAACTTTCAGTCTACAGAGAGCCAGCTGATGTCCAAGGGCGATGCAGACACCAAAGACGACTCAGAGGAGACTGTGCCCAACCCCTTCAGCCAACTCACTGACCAGGAGCTGGAGGAATACAAGAAGGAGGTGGAGAGGAAGAAACTAGAGCTTGACGGTAAATACGCCGGGCTGGCCCAGAGTGGAGGGAGAGCTGGGGGCACCCAGAGGGGCAGCAGAACAACCAGCAAGGCTCGCTCCCGCCAGTGACCCTGGGACCCATGCCTCCCGTCTGACAGGCCCCCTGGGGCTCCGTCTAGCCTTGCCTCGCCTTCACGTTCAGCCTTCACTTCTCCCTCTCCCCCATCACATTCCCAGTTTGCCCTTCCTGCCCCATCAGCCAAGTCATATTCTTACCAGCGTGATGCTGTGACTTATGTAATGGTCCTCATGGCCCAGCACCTCACGGTGACATCGTGCTGCCATGACCTTGTCAGACCCTCTCACCTGGGCTTAAAGGAGGTAATCCTCATAAGTGCTTAGAACAGGGCCTGGAAGTACGGGGGAGGTCAGATAAAATGAGCTATGATAAGATAATTATAATAGTGATAATTACTATGAATCTGTCAGATCCAGTATAAACCTTTTAGCCTGGCAATGAAAACTCGCACCAGCTACCTGTGGTCTTTTCCTTATTCCTTCTTTATTTCAGAATCTCCAGTCAAGCCCATCTCTCTGTATTGAGTGCCAGATATGCACTCATGATCGCTTGTATGCTCTCATTCATGCCTTTGTCCCTTCCAGGCATGGTTTCCCTTTTGGCTATCCTGACCCCAGAACTTCCATCTCAAGCCCCTCTTCCAGCTAAAAAGCCCTCTCTGTCCCTCTCTACCCCACCCCGCCTTTGAGCTGTCCCTTCTCTTTTTTTCAAGAGCACTTGGGGTCTGAGACACAGAGGAATTCAGCTCCTGGTTTTGCCCACCAGGCTGGGCTGTCATTCCCTCAGGAGGACCCTCTTCCACGACCCCCCACCCCACCCAGGGTCAGCCATCTTCTTGGGCACAAACAGGCCCTAGAAAAACCCTTGCTAGCTTGCTTGAAGTTCTAATGGGACAGTTGAAAAAATAGATAGAAAATGTGGTGCTTTCTATCCTTAGGGATTATTTGGGCTGAACATGAAAATTAGATAAATAATAAATAAGCCATACGCAAACAGATCATGGATGGGAAGCCTGCAGGCTTGGGGTCCACACTGGGGCTGACATCCCACTGGCAGATGTGTTTGGGTGGAGGAAACAGAATACGACTCTGACTCCTCCCATTTGCCTCCCTGCACCCCGCCCCCAGATGTAGTGGCAATTTTTAAAAGTGTGGGGGAAGCAGGTGCACCTGGGTGACCCTGTGGGTTAAGCCTCTGCCTTCAGCTCAGGTCATGGTCTCAGGGTCCTGGGATCGAGCCCCACATTGGCTCTCTGCTCAGCAGGGAGCCTGCTTCCCCCTCTCTTTCTGCCTGCCTCTCTGCCTACTTGTGATCTCTCTCTCTCTCAAATAAATAGATAAAAATCTTTTTAAAAAATAAAAATAAAAAGATAAAAGTTTGGGGGAAGCAGCTAACTTCAGTTAGGAGAAATGGGGGCCAGCTGGAAGAAGGCTTTTTTTTTTTTTTTAAAGATTTCATTTATTTATTTGACAGAGAGAGATCACAGCAGACAGAGGCAGGCAGAGAGAGAGAGAGAGGGAAGCAGGCTCCCTGCTAAGCAGAGAGCCCGATGCGGGACTCGATCCCAGGACCCTGAGATCATGACCCGAGCCGAAGGCAGCGGCTTAACCCACTGAGCCACCCAGGCGCCCCAGAAGGCTTTTTTTTTTTAAATAAATATTCTCCTTTCATCTATTTGACCCCTATCCTGGGGTGGTTTTCTGTATTTTCAGGAGAGAAAGAAACCACTGCCGAGGAGCCTGGCTCACCTGTAAGGTCTGCACCAGCTTCTCCAGCACAGAGCCCAGCGAAGTCAGAGACTAAGAGCCCTGCGGTCTCTCCCTCCAAGTCTTTAGACGGTAAGTGGAGCTGAGCAGCTAGAAGGGAGGAGGCATCTCCACAGCTCAGAAAGGGGTCTGCACAGAAGGCAGGGCAGACATGCTCACTCCAGGGACTCTGCCTTTCAGCAGGACTTGTCTGCTACCCAGAAAGCTTTCTGTTCTGCCATTTCTAGGGAGTTTGAAATAGGGGTTTCCAAATTTAAGCTTGTTTCATTCAAAGGCTGTGACAACACAGCTTACAGTTAAGTCCCTGTTTAAGCAATAATGATTGACTCACAGCCTTCCCACCTCTCACTCAGACTAGGTTGGCTGGTGGGTCTTTCTAGATGCACCAGCCTAGTGCTCAGACTCTAATGTGCTTAGGGATCACCAGGATCTTGTTGAAATGAAGTTTCTGATGCAATAGGTGTGGGGTGGAACCTGAGACTGTATATTTCTAACAAGCTCCCAGGTAAGGCTCATGATGTCATTCTCAGCCTTTGGAATCTCAACACACTGGAATTACCTGGCGAGGTTTAAAAATCCTGACACTGGCCTGGGTCCCACCACAGCATCCCCTGTGGTTCTCAGTTAAATGGTCTGGGGATGGGGTACAGAAGAGTACACTGGAGTTTTAAGATCTCTCCAGCTACATCAAATGTGTAGCCCAGGCTGAGAACCACTTCATTAGATACGGGTTTACAGAACTAAGGTCTAGGCCCAACTCAACTGCTAACTAATAACAACCCTACTGCTAATTTTAGAAAATCAGGTAATCTTTGTGCCTCAGTTTCCTTGTCTGTGAAAAGGGACTACCAGTATTTTCCCTTTTTAAGGTTCTTATACATATAAGAAAGCTGTAGATGAAAACATAAAGCATGAAATGGAAAATATAAAAATTTCATTCATAAAGAATGAAATGAAAAATATAAAAGAAAAAATTTAAATGTAAGATCTGATTGTGATTATGATTAATAATATACATATGGTGGATAATAATACTATTATATTATATTATATTATGTCTATACTACCTAGATCGTAAAACTGTCTTTATTGAGGTCCTAGAGTCCCTCTAGGCAGGAACACTGCTCCCTAGGTCCCCTGTGATTTTCCCTGTTCTGGATAGACTGACCACACGTGTGGATGCTGCTAGAACCCCCCAACCTCTGAGCTCCCTCCACAGGCAGATTGTTGCCTTGAGTGTAATCCCAGTGTTGCCAGAGGAAACTCATCTGCTTGTGGCCAGAGCTCCAAGTGGATGTCCCCTGTTTGTGTTCATTGTGTCTCATCGTGGTGTTATCAACCTGTCTCCACAATGTCTTCCTTTCTCTTCCCATTTGTGCCTTCATCAAAGGAGTTTCCTCCGATTCTGAATACTTGTCTCTGTAGTAAGTATAGAGAGGCTATTTACTAACTCACCCCAACACTTGCAATGGGGGAGGGAGGTCTCTTTAAAAAAAAAAAATGTGTTTATCCCCAGCTTTTTCTTTGGCAACCCTGACTTTGGGAGGTTTCTTGGCTATAAAGCTCATGACCAACTCCACATGTGCTCTGCATGGGCAGGCTTCCCTCTGGGATATGCACACATAGGATGGACTCGTGCACATACACACACTCTCATCCTCACATGGGGCATGCCACCCAGAGGCAACAAGCCTGCACAGTGAAAGGGCAGGGGTCCAGCTCCTGGGCCCTCCCTGTGGAGGAGTCCTTATGGCCCTCATGGGCACATCGGCATCCCTTTTCCTAATGGCCCCTCCAAGGAGCCCATGAACTCTTCTAGGGCTGTGGCACAGAGCCTGAATGGCCCGAGAACCAACTGCCTTCTGGAGATGCTTAGAGCACCTGGCCTGACCATGTCTTCAACATCCCCCAGGGGTGCGCACCAGCCACAGGAGGGAAATCCAAGCGGGAGAGGCAGCTTATGACAGCAGTGGGACAAGGGATGGTAATCGCATTTCAGCTCCTGGGAACCTCTGGGAGCAACCTCTGCTGTTCAGAGGGACAGAGTGTGGAAGGAGGGGTGTAGGATAAGTGCTTACCTACCCTGACATTATTCCCACGGGTAGCACTATTCTTGCCCTCTCTGGTGCAAATCTGTGCCTTCATGGAGGGGCACACCCTGGTAGAGTTGTTAGAAAAATCAAGATCTTCTTCCCTGAAGATTCGGCCCATAGTACAGACAGAGCTGAGCCCGCACGATGAGGCCAGAGTTATTGCTGCTTTGGGTAATCAGGGTGGGGCATAGAGGGCCATGGCCATGCCACACGGTGGCTTGCCCAGCTCCTCAGGGCTGACAAGGCTGAGCCTCCCACTCCCATCAAGGTGAGCGCTTTCACATTAGCTCCCCGCTTGAATCAGGGGTGGCTTTTCACTGCGTGCCACCATGCTCTGGTGCTGAGTCACCTCGGTGTCCCTCCTCCTCTCTCTTCTACCTCATCAGCCTCCCTGAAGGAGACTCTTTCAAACCCTCTTCCTCCACATCTGGTCATCTCTGTCATCGCCTTCTCTTTGATCAGCTCCTGATCCCTGCACCTGCTGACTCCATCCCCCGATAACCTCTCAGGAGCACTGGCAGTGCCTGCCAGAAAGAGCCCTGCATTCAGGATCAGATGATCAGCACTGTCACTTACCGATTTTGCCATCTCAAATAAGTCACTTAAAAACCCTGCAGAATGGGGGGCTGCCTAACAAGAATCCTTGTCCTATCCTAAGCCATAGCACTGTTACTGGGATAAAATGAGCAAATGGATACAAAAGGGCCTTGTAACTTGCTTCCATCAATCAGTTCTCATTACGTACTGTGTTCTTGGGATTGTGAGAGAGAATACAGGCATGCTGTTTCAAGCCAATAAACTTGGGGATGGAGGTTGTTACGTAGCAATAGATAATTACTGAATCACGGTGCATAATAAGAGCTGGTTTTATGGAAATCCATTTTTCTGTGGGTTGACCAGGCTCAGCTGGATGATTCTGTTCCATTCAGGTAAGCCGTGGCTGCATTTGTCTGGGAGCCTGACTGAACTGGGACTTCCAAGATGGCGTACTCATGTCAGGCGCCTTGGCCGGAACAGCTGGAAGGCTGGGCTCAGCTGGGACACGGGGATGGCTAGGTCTCTGTCTCTCTGTCTCTCTTAATGTGGTTGTAGGGCCTCTCCATGTGTGTTTCCATCAAGGCAGTCAGACTTCATTACACAGTGGCTCAAGGCTCCCCAAACTCTGAAAGCAGGAACTTCTAGGCCTTCTTAAGTCTTCAGCCTAAGGCTGGCTCCTTGGCACTTACTCAGCATTCTGTTGGTGGCTGTGAACCACAGGGCCAGCTCAGATTCATTGTGGCAGGGGACCATACCTAACTGTGTCCTCTTAAAAAAAAAAAAAGAAGAAAAATGACACATGAAACTATAAAATGGATATATCAGCAATGGATTTAGAGAATTTGGGGCAAGATCATTGTCAAATTTCAGGGGAGGCTTGAGCCAGGTCAGAGGGTTTAAGAGGCCAACTAGCAGGTAAAGGAGGAGAATGGACAGAAGGTTGAATTTAGACAAGTGTATTGATTTCAAGACTATTGCCAGGTGATGACCATGGGGACACATGGTGGGAGGGTAAGAGTGCAGGCCATCGGAGTAAAGGCTGGATGTAGTAGGGAACTTAGTAACTGGATGATGAGAGGACATGGGCAGGACAGTAGAAGGATGGAAGCCAGGGCCAAGGTGTTGGATGCTAAGAGAGAGACAGTCCTCAAGAGCCATCTGGAAGAGGACGTTGACTTGCGTAGAGAAGTTCAGAAGTTGGAAAAGACCTAACAAATAAGAATTTGTCCACAGTCAAACTAGCCCATTCTGTCCCCAGATTTACAACCCTCTGTCCTGTGTCCCATGTAATCATACATTTCTCTGGTCTTTACCCCTATCAAGTACCCTAGTTTTTTCCTAAAACTTCCTTCCCCACCCCTTCCTTCTATAAGTCATACCAGTCATACGTCCCCCATTGCTCACATTCCTAGAGAGTGGTGCATGCCCATTACCTTCCTGTGGTATGAGATCTCATACAGCTCACTCACACACACCAGCATTCACACACCACACCCACATACCCATTCACAAACTCACATGCCCACACACACAAACTCAGCACAACTCATACACTCACCCACACACTCACGCACCACACCCCCATACTTATTCACACAGCTCACTCCACATTCACACACTTACAAATTCACACATGCACACACATCCTCACACACTCACAAACACATGCACACACACGTTCTCATACACTCACACACTCCTCTCAGTTTCACATAATGAAAAGAGCACAAAACTGGATGTCAGGAGATTGAGGTCTGCTCACTTTTACTACTTGACTCAGTTTTCATTTCTGTAAAATGGGAGGAGCTGAGCTAGATGATCTTTAAATTCCTTTCTACTTTTCAGAGTCTGTGGTTTTAGAATTCCCCCTCCTCTCTCCCCACCCAGGCATTTCAAAGCTTGAGTGGAAGCAAGGTGGGGGAAAGAGTGGGAAGGGGGAGAAAGGGCAGTAGTGGGGTTCAGTTTCTGGGGCCTGAGCAGCTCTGGCTTTGAACATGGCAGCAATCCAAATAGGTTCCCTCCAGGTGACCGCTAGAGTGGGCCAACCAGGCAACTTCCCCTTTGGTTAATCCTTTTATCTTAGAAATATGGGGTCCATATCACTCAGGGAATTCCATTCTCCCTCTGCCTTCCCCTTTCTGCCTATTGGAAAGATACTCTCCATTTTTCCAAAAGTTCCTCTCTGGTATCAGAAATGAGATTGGTATTAAAAACATGTAATTTCCATGTTAGCTAACTAGAATTTAAATAAAAGCTTTAAAAAATTTTTTAATTTTTTAATTAAATGCCTGGATGGCTCAGTCGTTAAGCATCTGCCTTTGGCTCAGGTCATGATCCCAGGGTCCTGGGACCGAGCCCCGCATCGGGCTCCCTGCTCTGCGGGAAGCCTGCTTCTCCCTCTCCCACTCCCCCTGCTTGTGTTCCCTCTCTCGCTGTCTCTTTCTCTCTCTCTGTCAAATAAATAAAATGAAATCTTTAAAAAAACCCTTTAATTTCCATATTTTTACTGGTGAAACTGAACTGGTTACAACAGTTCTTAGATTCTTCCACTGAGTTGTATGTGTTAGTGGTCTCCTCCTTCCTATAACCTCTCTCCTCACCTGGGTCTGTCCCCACATTTCGTACTACAGAAGCTCTCAACTGGGCCGTATTGCCACATTTGGACATCATTACCTGTTTACATTTGTAGACAAGGACCCAGAATAAAAGACTTGCCAAGGGCCTGTTCCCAAGGCAGGTTTCGTGAAAGAGGGTACAGGTTTCGGGTGAGAACCCTGCCTAACCCTTTCCCCCTACAATGTCAGCCTGTCCCTCCTTTTGCCCTAGACTTATTTTATAGAACTGCCTAGAAATGGTTCTGTTAGCCGCACATGGAAATTCTCACCTGGTCAAAATCTTATGGGTTGTATCTTTTAATCTTTTCCTAGAAGGTGCTAAGAAGACAGAAACAAGCAAAGCCACCACAGAGCCTGAAACCACACAGCCAGAAGGAGTGGTGGTCAACGGGAGGGAGGACGAACAGACCGCAGAGGAAATTCTCAGCAAAGGCTTGAGCCAGATGACCACCAATGCCGACACAGATGTTGATACCTCTAAGGACAAAACCGAGTCGGTCACCAGCGGCCCCATGTCCCCAGAGGGCTCACCTTCCAAGTCTCCCTCCAAAAAGAAGAAGAAATTCCGAACCCCGTCCTTCCTGAAAAAGAGCAAAAAGAAGGAGAAAGTGGAGTCCTGATTGGTAGTGCCCTTGGGCTCCCATCCACACCCTCTCCCTCCACCCCTTCCCTTCTCCCATCTCTGTCCCTGGAAGCACAGGGCCAAGGAGGGATAGAATAGGACCCTGGATCACACTCTGAGGGGGAACTTAGAGATGACCCAACCAACCCCTCATTTTCCATTTGCCCCAGAGAAATCAGGTGACTTTCCCAAGGTCACACAGCTAGTTAGTGGTAGAGCCTCCACTAGAATTGGGGTCTCCTGGCCCCCAGTCCAGTGCTCTTTCCACTACACAACACTGCCTAGTTGTGGGCTACCTTTGTGAGGATGCAGTCCACCAGTCTGAGCCTGGGGCAGAAGGCCAGAGTGGGCTGTAAAGGCCTCACAAGTCTCAGACCAAATCAGACACGTTGAGACTTCCCCTGAGCAAGGTCCTCTTCCTCACAGGAATCCAATCTCCTGCTAATGGAGCTGTCACAGTTTAGAAATCTCTCTTTTCCATAGGGTCCCCGCCCTGCTGCTCTCAGTAACTAGACAAATTGACCCGTCCCCTACACCAGGAGTTAATCTTTGTTCCCAAGGGCTGATGGCTTAGCTTGTACTTCCCCAACCACTAACCCTGAGCTTTCTTCATGGAACCTCCTGAACGATGGGTGGATGAAGAATTGTAAGAGCGGGCATACATAAGGGCAAGCCAAGTCAGCCACAGGATTGGGCATCGTTTAATCAATGTAAGAAGCCAGGAACTTGGCCCATTTGAATCGTGGATCTCAGGCGCTTCAAAACTAAAACCAAATTTAGCTTAGAGAAAAGTTGTCTCATGCTCAGGGCGGAAATTTGGGGTAATTCAGATCCTCTGTTGGCTTTGGGTTGTACAAGGAGGATCAAAACAACACAGGAAATGCTATGCTTTCTAGCTTTGCATGGTACATGGAGCAATGTGGCTGTACCTGTTTCACTCCTGTCTGGCGGTCAGGTGTCCCCTGACCTTCTTTCCAACCTGGAAGCACTGGCTCACAGACTGGAACTGGCATCTTACCCTTGGCACCTCGACTTTGGCTCCTTTGGGTTCTGACTCAGTCATTCTGGGTCCAACAGAGGAGAATGAGATGAGCCCTTGAGAATTAATTCTCTTGGATCAGCTATCAGAACAATCAGCTTGGGTGTCCTTGCCCTGTCACTACCTGTCCATCCCGGGGCCTAGCAAGAGCCACGGCTGCTGCTGTTAACGCCAACACTCTCCGTTCATACTCTTCCACGGGACACCGATTAATGAGCATTGTTGGCTCCTAAAAAAGTAGACAATCCATTCTCTTTATAGCACAGTGTCTTCAAAGAGTATTTTTCCTTTTTGTTCTGATTATGGTGAAAGTACTTTTGAAGTTCTTAATCATAGTTTTTCACTTTTGAGCACTTTCTATATACAGACACTGTGCAGGCTTTCCATACGTTATACCCTTGGACGGTCACGATAGTCCTGTGATGTGGTTAAGACAGTCCCATTTTACCAGTAAGAAAACTGAGCCCCCAAAAGGACAATTGACTGCTCCGGGTAACTTGGCTAGAAAGATCCAGAGCCTGGATTTGACCTCTGGGTCAGTCTGAGCCCAGAGCCTTTGTTCTTAACAATTACGATGATTCGAAAACTTGAAATCCCCAAGCGGGGGGTTTAATTTAGTCCAGGACCCATTTCTGTGACTGGTCTCCACTGTGTAATGTCAGCATTTGAAATGAAGGCAGGAAACTACCTGTGTTCTCCCTCATCAGTGCATGTTAAGCTTCTGACAAACGTGGACTGTGGCGAGGCCAGTGCGGACCTCTGACGGAGGAGAGGCAGGAGACTTCTGGTTGAGCCAGAGTACGGGGGGCTGTTTCTTGAGAAGAAAGGAAGCATGACTAAGGAGAATGCAGAACTGTGTCTCTCTCGTGCAGATCTCTAAATGCTATCCCAGCTCCTGCTCCGCTCTACTTTCTGATGGGCCTTGTGATGGGCAACCCCGTGATCAGGGGCATCTGATGTCTCAGAAAAGTCAATGGGAAATGCCTTTAAAAGCCAGTCCTTTGATGCCTTCTTTGAAAAACTAGATTTCACATTCATCCTTTCATCCCTCACAATATTTGTGAAGCACCCACAAAGCACCAGGCATTATGCCATCATTAAAAGAAACCCCTCGTTGTGGCTAGAATCATCAGCAGCAAACAATGTTACGGGATGAATGGAGAGGATCACCATTGATGCAGCTTTTTGTGTTGGAGTGGTTGTAGCTCAGAGATGATGTTGATTGACTCTCCGCATTCAACAAATTCTCTTTATTCCCTTTACCACAACGAGGCCTCATTTAGGTGAAAACAGCACAGCCTTGCTGGAGGATCATCCTTGGAATTTATGCCATGGGTCCACCTTTTATTTATGCATTTGTTCATCCTCATGCCTTCGAACACAACCACCACCACCAACAAAACGCCATGAGCTTGGGTCATGGGTCGAGTCAGAAGGCAGAACGTAGTCCCTGCCCACAGAGGTTTTTAGGTATAGGAGGCTTGTAGGCAAGTTACGAAAAGGGCAAGGGGGCAGAGATGACATAAGGAAGTAATGGTTTATTGTCTTCTGGACCAGAGAAACTTTCCTGAAAGATGTGATGATTAAGTTAGGTTTTCTGACAAGGAGGAATTCTCCAGGAAGACAAAAGGGTTGGTGGGATATTCGTGCTGAGGGAAGAGCATGTGCAAAGGCACAGAAGCACAAAACTCCATGACAGGCCCACGGAGTCACACAGGAACGCCGGAGCATAAGGTGTAATGGACGGGGGCTTTGTTTCATAGGTGGGCAGGGCTGGCTCAGAGAGAAATCTGCAGAAGTGTGCAACTAGATTTTATACTGAAGGGGGTTTGGAGCTGCTGATGGCTTCCAATCAGGGCGTCATGGTCAGCTTGACTTTCACAAAAGTCCACTAGGCGATTGAGTGGAGAATGGCTGGAGAGAAATGTGGTGAAGGCTCAGACCTCCTAATGAGGTCCATCAGCTCAGAAACGTGCCTGGTGGCCTGCCTTACACTCCGTTTTTTCTTTATAGTGCATAGCTTGCTTCCTGCACAGAATTTCACTTCCCCAAAGCTCTTTGAGTAAGGCATCTTAGGAAAGATTTTCAACAAGGAGAGGGAAGCATTCAAAGAGCTAATGCTTGGTGCGGTTTCCAGGTCTGTCTCGTCCCACCGCAGAACTGCCATGGGATCCGGGAGGCCCTCTGCCGGTTTCTTACTCTTGCGTGAGTGTCGGGGGTAGCGCATTGGATGCCGCTGCAGGAGACGTGCAGTCCGAACAAAACCGTGGGCTTCTAGGGAGAGGACGGGACGTTTTCTTTGGGTCTGGAAAAAGTTGGCTGAAAACTTTGACCAGTGTCTGTCTGGAGAAAATGTCTCTAAGTGGGGCTCAGAGTGGGTGGGCAGGAGGAGCCGCTGTGCTTGGACATGCTGCAGCAAGGGCTGAGAACACGGGAGCCAGTCTGCAGTGTGACTGATGTCTGACCTGGAAAGTGGGGAGGTTTGGAGGTTGTTTCCATGGAAAGTCAGGCAGGGGTGGCTTGGGGAGGCAGCAGGAGAGATGGTTACAGAGACACAACTTGGCTCCAGTGACTCTCTGTGCGCTGGTGGCTGACACCCAGAAGTGATGTGAGAGAACCGTCCACACCATGTGACCTTCCTCAAACTTTGCAAAAAGCTTTGCCAAGAGGCAGGCCTCTAGCACAGATCTGTGCTCCATTAGAGCTTCCTGGCCTGTAGTGACCCAAGTAACTGTCCAAATTCAGCCAGGTAACACAGAGATAACAATCACCTGCCCCAAGGGGCGCCTGGGTGGTGCAGTTGGTTAAGCATCTGACTCTTGGCTTTGGCTCAGGTCATGGTCTCAGTGTCCTGGGATCGAGCCCTTTGCTGGGTTCCATGCTCAGTGTGGAGCCTGCTTGAGGTTCTCGCTTCCTTTCCCTCTGTCCCTCCCACCCAGCCTTGCTCCCTTGCTCTCTCTCTCTCTCTCAAATAAGTAAATCTTTTTTTTTAAAAAAAAGATTTTATTTACTTATTTGACAGAGAGACACAGCGAGAGAGGGAACGCAAGCAGTGGGAGAGAGAGAGGGAGAAGCAGGCTTCCCGCGGAGCAGGGAGCCCGATGCGGGGCTCGATCCCAGGACCCTGGGACCATGACCTGAGCCGACCGTGGATGCTTAACCACTGAGCCACCCAGGTGCCCCTCAAATAGATAAGTCTTTTTAAAAATATAGCCTCCCTCAACAGTCCTCTAACGAAAACGGGGATCTTCCTCTGCAGACAGAGAAGTTCTTTTTAAGGGACTTGCAGGGGTTTGGATGAGGACCCCGGTCTGTAAGAACCCCATTAGAAGCATCGCTGTCCTCCTGTGGATTTGCATACACTGAGCCTTGACTCCTCTCCCCGGGTCTGATGCCCTGAGTGTGGCAAGGCAGTCATTCAGATGTCACTCAGCACCATCATAACAGGGCTATTGCTGTCCTTATAGGCCACTGTTCTGCTTACCCTGGATTTGAAAGAACCATTCCCCCCAACAGCATGATTCAATTCTGAAAGCCGAAAAGATCAAAAAGAAGTTTGGATTTTTCAGTGGAGGTATGCATTGGGGTAGATGGACACGTAGCCCACCATCAGCCTCTGGAGGCCCTTTTTTGCACAAGTGCATAGTCTATGTTCCAGTTCTAGGCCAGGAGTGATCAGTTTTTGACTCTTGAGCAAATGCGAAAGCATGCAGTCCTTACTCCTGTTCCTTACGCAGGTCAGCGGAAGCCACTGAATTCGTTGCTAGAGCTGCTGCTGACTCTGAGCGTAGAGGGAACAGGTCTTGTATCTCTCTCACCAGTTGAGTCAATGCAAACTCTCAAAGACAATAGCACTGAAAGGGTCTGAGAAGAAACTAGGGAGGAGGTAAACCCATGCTCTCCACGCCCACAGAAAGGACAGGGCACCCCATCATTGTTCCTCATCTGTTCCAAAAGGGACAAGTAAACATGAAAAGCCAGAGGCCTGAACGGACTCTGAAGAAACACCG